GATCTATGGTTTTGCTATGCAGTAAAATTAAGGACGTCGAGTCTCAACTCTGATATCTCGACACCTCGGATATCTCGACATTTTCCGACTGTCCCGTCGATGTCGAGATACCGAAGTTTACCTGTATTTCATTTATAATAGTTACACATTGAAAGTTCGTAATATATATTTACCGCACATTTCCTAAAAAAAAATAAATAGATTATATCAGATCTTCATTACGCTCAGAATTGTGGAGCGGGTATGATTTTAATCAGAATAAAAAATTGAAATGACAAATAATAATTGTTCTTCCGATAAAAATATATGTATATACCAACCTACTTCAAAAACACATATTAATGAAATTTAAAATTATTTTAAAAAAATATGTCTAAATATTTAAATATAAATACGGGAAAATTCAAGACGAAAAATAAGAGATCGTAACTGTAAACTCTCATCATTAAACTAGATTCTAATAATAAAGCCTGATGATTTTTTTGTTAAATTTCTACGAGTCGTCCTCCCAACTTTGTATTGAATTATTTTCTATAAGCCTGAAGCAGTTTTTTTTCAATTAATATACAGGACGATGTATATTATTATGCACATTGAATTTTTTCATGCCAAGATAAGAAGATCAATAATTTTGAAATTAATTTTGAATGTTTTGACAGAGCATGAAATTGAAACAATGGAAATAAAATAATTGATAATAGGCACGTACATGTACAGGGTGTCCCATAACATATGTTACACTTTTAAACCGTTATAAAAACTTTATACATCAAGTTACATTAATGAAATTTGAAATATATAATAACATTGTAATAAATTTTTTGTCAAGCATAAATTTGTCAGAGTTTCTTTATTAATCATCAACCTTTTTTCTTTAGAATAACGTATCTCATTTAGCAACATGTTCGAAATGATGACGTCCCTTTAAATTAACGTTGTTTGAACACCATTTCTGAAATTTTTTAACAAGTGTTAAATGTAACATTCTAACTGTTTAGGGGTCTTCCACATTAAAATTAGGTTTCAACAAACAACAGAATTTAAAATTTTCTTTACCAGCATTGTTAAAATGGAATTGGGAATCAACGGAAAACATGCATCTGTTAAATATTCTGGGTAGGGTCTAATCAAAATCTATTGGGCAAACCCTAAACGACTTCTAATTTCTGTCTCTTTCAAATGCTGTGTTAGACTTATCTTGTAACGGATTTTTAACGAATATTTAAATCAAATTTGAGTATAAATTTTAATTTATGAACACTAGATTTTCCAAAGGTGCTATCTTGTTTATGCAGGACCCATCTAAGGGAATTTTAGTAAAGTTTCAGTGATGACACTATCAATGGTATTAATGTTCTCTTTGGTACGGGCATTCCTTGGTCTTCTAATTAATACCAGAATAAAGTCTGTTAATTTTTCATATTATACGGTGCCTTTAACTTCAAACTCCCTCATAATAAGTAAATTAGTCGTCTGTTGAGCACTTTTATTGCAGGATGTTGTTTTCTGGTGGTTATAATGACTAAAGTAGTAGATTTAGTCTCATAGTAAAGTATTAAAATTTCTACCAGCTGTTCACATGGATGTTCAATATTAAAAATATGATGACGTCGTAAGGGCATCATCATCATCTAAGTTTTTTCTCCAAATTTCTTGAAAGTTTGTCAGATAAAATGTATGCTAAAGTCCTAGATGTTGACATAATATCTTTGTGATTGTTTTTGGTTTGATAAAGTTATAGATGATTGAAAGTGTAACATATGTTTTGGGACACCCTGTATATATGTGTCAGTTTACTTCTTATGTTGAATTTGATATTGCACCATAGTAAGCAAGTTTTATCTTTGATAAATAATGTTTTCCTATAAGAAATATAATTTAAATCGATTATTGATACAAATTTTAATCATTTACAATTTTTCAGAGATGTTTGTGCAACAAGCGTTGACAGAGGTGTATGTGGGAGCGAAGCGGGAACGACAACCCTGGATAGAGAATGGCATCAATCTAATGATTTTGACAATCCGTGCTCGCGAATTTCATTACAATCATATATATATATATATTAAATTAATTTACATAATATATGAAGAGTTTATATCCAAAATGTATTAAGAAAATTTTCCCTGAAAATTCAAAAGATTCTTTTAATAAGTTCAAGATTAATTTATCGTCTTATCAAAGTGTACACTGATAACCCTAAGGATTTATACCACACAGAACAATAATCTAATGGAAAACATTAAAAGCAATTACTTTTAGCTAATTAATTTCCTGATAATGATTTTAAATGATGTATACGAGGGTTGTCCCAAAAAATCGTAGACAGGTAAAACAGTTTTGTTTCTCTTTGCCTTATTAAATTTCTTTCCTTGTCATAGCAAAGAGTAACATTTAATGATCATGCACTTCAAGTTTCATGATGATATCACATCTTATAAGAAAATTATGAAAAAATAAAGAAAGAATATAAGTGTGCACCGGCGCACGAAAGCAAGCGTAAATTACGTCTCTTATAACGTCATGATCTCTTTGCCTGCTTCACTAGCGGTTAATAACATTCAATAATTTTTTTAAGTGATAGACCACTCTTGAATAATGGACATAAATTCAAATTCACTACTGTCCGTTAGTTTTTTACTTGTTTTTTTTAAAGCAGATTAAAATTTCAGTCGAAATTAATCGAAAGATCGCCTGACATTGTAGGCAGTAGAGAATACAATTTGTTTGACGTCGTTCGCGGTCTAGTTTTTCCAAATTGTCTGCATATATCGAGCAATACTCTACTTCTTACATGCCGTAATTAACTATTTTCGGTACACAAGAAAAACTCTCAGTGAATATCGTGCAATTTAAAAGTAACTTCCTTATTAAAATCCGGTGTGTAATGTCACTTCTGTACTCTTTTTTTCCCGTCTCCGACGTATATTAACCATATCCAACACAATTTATTACATTTCCGTGCGCCGACTACGCGTTTGACGCCGTCATTTTCACCAAACTCAATTTCAACGATACTATGAAAATCATGACACCAATCGTCTGTTTCTAATGATATTTATATGAAATTTTGACATAATATTAATATTTTTATTCTGGTTTCATTGATTAAAATTTGAGTTCAATGTATCATATAGAACTAAAGAAATAAATGTGAATGTAATGGTTATATGCATAAATTATTCCAAATTTTGTCCGTGCGCCGACAGGCCTTATCGGCCTTCATATAAATCGTCCAAATATTATTCATATGAAAGATATGCATTTAAAAATTCACAATTTTAAAGATTATTGACTATATTACGTCTTTGCAAAATTTGGCAAGTATTGGTTGCATGATTAAAAAATTATAAACATTGTCTACGATTTTTTGGGACAACCCTCGTACATAAACAGAAATGGGTCCTTTCAACAATACCAACTAATTCTAAGTACTGGACACTGTTATACCTCTAATTAAATAATCAAATGAAGAATTTATATTATTTTCATAGACACACTTTTCACAACTTTAAGGTAATCCAAGAGGAGTGTCTTTTAATTTTGTTTTAAATAAAATCTTATTCTTTGTCAACGATAAGAATTTGATTTAATTTCTGATCAAACTTCAGTTTTTGTCAGATTTTTTTTCTTTTTGATGCTTGTATACTTAAAACCCGAATATTCGAATCATAAATATATATTCGAATATCAACTCATCGAATGAATATTCGAATATTCGTTGACATCTCTCTCTCTCTCTCTCTCTCTCTCTCTCTCTATATATATATATATATATATACGAATACATCCATTCATTTAAATCAATTAATGCGTTCTATGTATTTTGTTTCAGCAACCGGTCGCCCCAAACCTCTTTTATAACAAAGTCAACGTATATATCTATTTTAGAAAAATTCTGATTACGCAGGAACCATACTTACTTATACTACGATATAAGTCATTTAACTATTCTTATACTTTTTGTACGAAATATCAGTACTAGCATATGGATTTGAAAATGTTCATGTTTTATGTAACAAAAGGTAGGATGGAAACAACAACAATATTCTATTCATTAAACACGCATAGCCATATCCGATATGTATAGATAAATAATATTAATGAAACCATTGGAAGGGCTTAAATAATATTTAAAATGTTTAAACACTTTTAGTTTTACCATGGTAATAATTTTTTCATAAGAAAACAATTCCTTTCAAAATATAGTTTTTTTGGTTCTGCATGATGGATAGACAAGCAAACAAAAGGTTTCTTTTAATCAAAGAGACCTAAAGCGCTTTAGGTCTATTTTTTAATTAATTTTTAGTTATTTTCAATGCAAATCATTTTGTATTCTTCCAAATCGTTGTGGAGCGATTCTCAGTCAGCTAAATTACGAGTAACATTCTAACTACGGTGAGGGCTTTTCCCGAGACACAGATTATTCCAACTAAGTGACAAAACATAGATCAAGTTTGATTTTTTAAAATATATATAATGGTTTTTTAACCACGTAAAATCAGCTGCTTTGACCAAAGCATGCATGTAAGTATTATGACATTCATATACGCCTCTCTTTGTAAGTCAGATCGACTTCATTCGATCCAAGACATTTCATTCATAAACAAGTACATGTATATGATAGAAATGTTCACATTTTGAGGGCACTTTTTCAGAAACAGAATATCATAAAATGAGACCCTAAAGAGAAAAAGGGTAACTCGGTAGGGGACATGTACTGCTTATATGCAATACTCTCTATACGGTCTCAACACAGATACGATATCAAATTCTTTTAATTTGTAATGTGACACTTCGTAACTGTTGTTGCGGATTATCTTTTGAATAGAAGGTTTTGTAAGCTTCACCTGCCTTCAAATATATGCTAGGCTTTTTATATGACACCCCCAATTTTTTTAACAATTTGCATTACGTAATCATGCCTTATCGTTATCACAAATGCATGTGATCCCAGTAATGCCACCCTTTTTAATCTTAAATAGTCACTGATTATTTTCAATCAGTAAAGACTTTTACATGTGCGCATCTGCATCAATAATTTATTTGGCGAATATACGGAGCTCTTCAAAAACTATCCTAATACAGGTAAGAAACAGAATTTCATCAAAGAAATGGAAGCCTCATTTGCTACCAAGTAAAATATTTAGAACTTATTTATTTTTATATCCGAGGCGTATATTGTTTTTGTACTGTCTGTTTGTCTATTTATCTGTTTGTCTGTTTATGAGGCCATTGACCTTCGTCTCATTTGAAAGAACTTAATTAGTGGAGTATACATACCGAATATGAAGACTCTATCTCGTAAGGTTAAAAGTTATGGCAAAAGTTCGAAAAAGCTATTCTTAGCATATATGTCACAGTCAAGGTCACAAGGTCTTTGACATTGGTGTCATTTGAAAGAACTTTATAAGTGGAGTATGCATATTAAATATGAGGTCTCTATGTCATATGGTTTAAAAGTTAAGGCGAAGGTTAAAGTTGACAACAGACAGACAAACAAACAGATAAACAGACAAGAGAAAAACAATTAACGCGCCGGATCTATCGATCCCGGCGAATAAAAATGAGTTGATTTTTCGTCTTAATGATTATTATTTTTTTTTATATTAAAGGCATGCACAACCCCAAAATTTTAATATCACGCACTTTTATTTTTACCTTGGTAATAGCTTTTGCATCAGAGTACATTTGCTTTCAAAACATAGTTTTCTTGTTCTGCATGATGGATAGACAAGCAAACAAAAGGTTTCTTTTAATCAAGACCTAAAACGCTTTAGGTCTATTTTTTAATTGATTTGGTAGTTATTTTCAATGCAAATCATTTTGTATTCTTCCAAATCGCTGTGGAGAGATTCTCAGTCAGCTACATTACGAGTGTATGGGATGCATTCTAATCGCGGTGCGGTCTTGTCTCGAGACACAGATTATTCCGACTAATTGATAAAACATAGATCAAGTTGATTTTTTTATATAATGGTTTTTTAACGACGTAAAATCAGCTGCTTTGACCAAAGCATGCATGTAAGTATTATGACATTCATATACGCCTCTCTTTGTAAGTCAGATCGACTTCATTCGATCCAAGACATTTCATTCATAAACAAGTACATGTATATGATAGAAATGTTCACATTTTGAGGGCACTTTTTCAGAAACAGAATATCATAAAATGAGACCCTAAAGAGAAAAAGGGTAACTCGGTAGGGGACATGTACTGCTTATATACAATACTCTCTATACAGTCTCAACACAGATACGATATCAAATTCTTTTAATTTGTAATGTGACACTTCGTAACTGTTGTTGCGGATTATCTTTTGAATAGAAGGTTTTGTAAGCTTCACCTGCCCTTAAATATATATGCTAGGCCTTTTATATGACACCCCCCATTTGCATTACGTTATCATGCCTTATCGTTATCACAAATGCATGTGATCCCAGTAATTCCACTCTTGTTAATCTAAAATAGTCACTGATTATTTTCAATCAGTAAAGACTTTTACATGTGCGCATCGTCATTGCATAAACAAATCAACAATTTATTTGGCGAATATACTGAGCTCTTCAAAAACTATTCTTTTATAGTTAAGAAACAGAATTTCTTCAAAGAAATGAAAGTCTCATTTAATTTGTTATCACTTAAAATATTCAGAACTTATTTATTTTTATAATACAGCAAATGCATAGAATTTTATCAAGAGTTATATGTATATTTTAGAACGTTCCACACCGAACAGATTAAAGTTACAATTATTCTGGTTTTCAAGGTAGCTAAGGACACCTGACTTCTAAAAAAACCTATCAATAGATTTTGTTAAAATTTTCATATCGCGTAAAGGAATATGTAATGAATACTTAGTGAAAATATGAACATGGCATTGTGTGTAAATTACGGAACCAGGAGGTAATGAACTACCTTCCCTTTCCAGTCACTCCAAAAATTATAATACTAGATGTGAATATTACCCATAAAAATATTATGCAATATTCATTCAACATTTAAAATTCTTTTTAAACAACATTGATACTATAAACGTCTTTTAGCAATGGATTGTCTGAACATGAATAAATAAAGAAAAAACTGCATACAAAACATTTTAAATTCAACAAATTGGACAATTTTCATGCACACAAATTTGACACTTTTTAAATAAATTAAAAAAAATCTGTCCAATACAATTTATTTTTTATCATTATATGAAAGATTTGACTAATATTATTGGACTTTAACGAGAAGCGCTGACTTTGACAAATTGACTGTTTACTTGGACATTTAAAGATTCACATCTATGGAGGTACATATTTGATAATGGAAAAGAACACCTTTCTATTGGTCATGGTAATTGTGTTAGGGGTACTTATAAGCAATGTCCTGAATTTGAGGGTGGGATGGTTGTCGTTTTCGTCAAGGACAATTTATCTGTGTTTTGAAATAAATCGGTATTTTCGTTGAATTAAATGTTGAGCTAAATTATAATACCGTAAAAGAGCTTCCGTACACTGTTCTAGCGTGAAAGTAAATCTTAAAGCGTAAAACTCAGCCCTTCTCGTAAAATTCTTATCTTCACTCAAAAAGTCTTGGTCAAATTAAGAAAAAAAAACAATTGAAGAAATAAATCGGAAGTACAAATCAATTTCTAATTGATTAAATAAAATATTTTTATATGACATTAGGAGAAATAATACATATAGAGTAATGACACGAAGAGTCGCCCCCTCTCCCCTCAATATAAAACTTGTAATTAAACTAATATTGAAATGATCAATATAAAATTAATTGTTTATAAATATTTGCTTTATTTCTTTTTAATTATTCCTAAAGACAATTAAAATATGAATTTATATTTAAACAATAGATTACTTGAACGGAAATGTAAATTTAAAAGAAAACCACAGGTGCTTGAGGACTGGACCTCCCCTTTCCGTGTTCTGCACTGCAATGGTTCTTTGACTTATTTGATAAAAATATTGTTCTTTGACAAATTCACAAAGTATTACTATCAAAAAATCAAAAATGTAAGCTAAAACTAGCCTTTTATAAAAATCCATACCCTCAAAGCATATATATAGTTGCTGTTGTCTGATTGGATAGAAAAATAATAACGTTTACATGATGCATATTTAAGGCAACTTTCAGTTATCGTTCTTGACTTCCATATTTGGAAATCGTCCAGACCTGTTTAAAGGTTTTTTTTACCATGGTATCTTAACAAATTTGTTATTATAAACATATAATTCCTTGAGTTTATATCAAATACAATGTAGCTCTTTATCTGTTTATAATTCCTCGTTAAACAAATATTGTACCTTGTTTCCCTCGTATTTCAGTTTACCCGCTACGTTTACGGGTGTAAATAGCAGCAAAAATGCAAATGAATAAGACGTTGACTGTGACGTCTCTGATACTAGTAACTAAGGAATTCCTCCATGTGTTTCGTCAGTCATAGGAATATGCCGCTCATAATCCATAGTGACACTATATCGAAACGTCTGAGAAAGAGCCTTCGAATGGCATTTAACTTTTACATACGCTAAAACGTGCGTGCTTTAACAGAATACCTGTAGAACAGGTATTCCATAAATACTTTAACCAATCAGACCGACACTCTTCCTATACACTGGATAAACACGTGTTCGTTTGATACACGTGTTGTGATATCTTCAATAAATACATATCATGTAGAATGATCGGAGAAAAGCAAATTGTATTTGTTGATTTTTTTTCTGTATATGACTTTTACTGACTTCATAAGCCTAGCTAAAAAAAATTAATGAATAAAAAATAGGCCCCTCCTATTAATTAGAAATTAAAACATTTTGGTGACGTAAACATTTTATGTGTTAATGAGAAGCTAACTCGCTAAACAATCCATTGAATTACATGTAAGTGTCCTTTCTATTTGGAAAACCGTAAATTCGATCTTTTTAATGGACAGGTTTTTTTTTTTTTGAAAAGAAGGAACAGTTAAAACACAAAAAAATGAGAATTCGGGTGAATCTTAGCATATGCGCAAGAGCAAATAGAAGAAATACATTAAAACGATTTAACTACGACACATACAAATAACATAAAGAATGCCGAGCTCAGAGTTATTACAGTAACTACAGAACACAATAACTGCACAGTTTCTGCTTGATTTAACACTCAAATCTACGTCTAATGAAGATTATTTAAATGCTCAAATTTTAATTTTTACAAAACTTGAATTTTAGTGAAACAATTTCACATTTGAGTTTTTCAGAAATATTCATTTTTCCATGGCATGGAGGCTACACAATTTCTGTAAGACAATTCGCATGATTCCACCTTCGGAATTTCTTGGTTCCGTATTTTCAGCTCTGTTCGAGATATTTGTATGTTTATGGATTTTTTGATGTTGGACGCTGTTAATTTGTCATAATCACTCTTTTCATTTCCAGCCGTTTTAAAAATACTACCAAGCAACCATATTTTTACTTTGGAAAATAATAAATGTTTTTCTTATATTTGTTGAAACTTGCATTCAGAATTAAACTATGGCAGACAAAGAAAATATAAAACTGAGGCAAGAAAATATGGATGAAACTCAAAACCCGAAGCAAGAAAAGGTAAAAGAAAATAAAAAACCAAAGCAAAAGATGGCGGAAGAAAATGATTTTAAAAAACCGGAATAATGAAAAGATGGATTAAAATATTATGTTTTAAAAATATTTAAATAGATAAAGACAAAGTGATTTCAAAGTTTCTGCATTACTTCTCCTTAATAATTTGAAGCATTTGTTTTAAGATAAATTAAAAAATGAATGACCGTTATGTATTTTTATCTAGGTTCATGAAAAAGCAAAGTGTACGTTGATGATACTTACAGGAGCAATAATGGTAAACTTTATTCAATTTTTCGAATAATAATGGTCACCCGCATGGTGTAGTGATTTGGTACTTATGTCGCAGGTTCAAACTCTACTGTGGGACGAGGAGACTGGTCCTTCGTTTGAGACCGTTCAAACAAAGGTCATGTGTCGCAATAGTTGTTGGCACGAAAAAGAGCCCTTATCACTGCCCACTGAGTGCCGAGTATAGGACACAATTTGTAGCTCTCTACAGGTGTAACGACGAAAAGTGACCCCCGTAGAATATGTAGAATATTGACCAAGGGGTCATTTTTCTACGTAGAAAAACGACCCCGGGTCAATATTCTACGACAAGTAGGGTCATTTTTTGGCTGTAGAAAAAAATTCCAGACCAGTAATTCTACGACTCCATACACGTTGAAAAATGACCCCTATAGAATTTTGCCCCCTTCTTTTTTATACAATAAAACCTTATATATGTGCCTCCTGATATTTTTTCATACTTTGTAATGCAAGTAGGGGGAATTTTTCATGTACTTTAATCCTTGCCAACATATATTTGATTGGATATCTTAATAGTAGCATCACTATCAATGTATCTGGTATGGATTTATTTTTGGCTTGCAGAATCCCAATGAATATTTATTCATTGAGGAGCATAAATTTATTATTATACTTTGAGGGTTTTTTTCATTCAAAGATTTTGTTCCGAAAATGGCATGATATGTTTCTGATAACTATAATCTTTGAATTTGTTTTACAAATCCAAAAACATTGCATAGAAGCAAGAAAAGCAACGTTATTTGACTATATAAATTCAATTCCCTTAGCTCTTACATTTAAACTTACATATACATCTGTACGGAAGAAGGATATGGAGATAACAAACAGTATTCAATATCAATGCAAAGTCCATGAAACAAAACAAAATAGGAGCAGAGCAAACACGGACCTCCAAAACATTAGAGGTGGGATCAGGTGCACGAAAAACGTCAGTCAGCATTTGACTAATGATAAATTGATTTTGCGTACAAGGTCATTGTATCGACCATAGAACTTACGAAATGATGACATTAAACGAATATTCATGTTTCATCAACTTGCTTGCCAATGATTAACCTCGTTTAAGAAAATATTCATACGTAGATCATGCTCTTGTGTATCGAATCAACTGAAATATAATTATACACTTCGCTTGCAGGTGATTAAGGTTAATTGCTGCTTGAGTAAGGGAAGTTGACGATATAAAAGTTAAAGTCATCACGTTTATCATATAGCTTGCTTGTGAGATTACCATTAACGTCTTTTTCAAGTAAAATATCCAAGTATGAAACAGATGTGTCAGACTCTAGCTGTGGTATCTTTTATCTCAAGCTCTTCAGGATATATCGTATCGAAGTTGGAATGGAAATTACCATTGTTAATTGACAATACGTCGTCGATATTTCTAAATGTCGAGTTGAAGGCCACAGCAAGTGTTTTCTTCTTTCATGCATAAGATCTTGCACAAAGTCTGCTTCATATGAATACAAAAATAGTTCTTCTTATAACGGAGCGCTATTGGTACCCATGGAAATTGCAATAGATTATTTGAAGACCTGGTCTCCAAAAACCATAATCCCTGTTGAGATTCTGCTAGGCTAGATATTTGGACTGACGCCGTCGCAGAATCCCTGGACAATCAATAATAATTCATGTCTGGAGATTAAGTCCCAACTTCGGTCGACTATAGCAAGAATTATTCACCTAGACCACACTGCCGTTCGCTTCAATTAAGTCATTTAGTTGCTTATTTTACTTTCTGTCACTATTATTTCTTCATAGCTTACCGTTTAGGCATGTAAATCCCAACATAAAAATATTCACTGAAATCTGCTTTTAAAATATGGCTCCCGTGACGAAATTGTTTACCTCCTCGAATAAAAGAGTGTCCTATAGTCTGTTTTTACCCTATGTGATGTTCAATAGCCACTGTAGATTTGGTTCAGAGTCACATAGAATAAAAACAGGATTTACATGACTAAACGGTAAGCTATGTAGAAATAATAGTGACAGAGAGTCAACTAAACAACTAAATGACTTAATTGAAGCGAATGGCAGTGTGGTCTAGGTGAATAATTCTTGCTATAGTCGGCCGAACTTGGGACTTAATCTCCAGACATGAATTATATATGATTGTCCAGGGATTCTGCGACGGTGTCAGTCCAAATATCTAGCCTAGCAGAATCTCAACAGGGATTACAAAAACCACATTCATTTTTTTCAATCAGAAACTCAAGCTTCTTTTTGATATCAAATTCAGAGTACTTGTGTGTGTAATCAGAGTGTGTTTTAACAAAATAATTTTGCAAATGACCAATTACCAGGTAAGAGAATTTTCGAGTCCTATTTTTACTGAAAAAGCAGCTGTCAGTGATATCAAAAAGTCTTGACTTTAATTTATCGCGGGGAATGGTTGTGTATTAAGTTGAAAAGTCTTTAAGCTGTTGAATTTGGTAAAATCTTGTGATTTCAAATTGTTCAAAAGTTCTTTTGAATTTTTGAGTATCCACATCTAATTCACACCACTTCCTGAATATATTATTGCACAGTAATCTTGAAGTTTTTCCTTCATTTCTGTCAACATCTTAGTGAGATGTAACGAAAGAGGCTTCCCTAACAAAAGAATACTATAGTTAACTATAGTTTACGGCATGGTTGAACATTTACGGGAACCCGCCATGTATCTTTATTTGTAAGGATTCTTATGAATTTTGGGAATCCAATATATATATATAGGGTAGTTCAAATTCATTTTGGCTCTGTGGAATATTAAAAATATTCAAAATTGACATAATATGATTTTGAAGAATTTTTTCCTCAGAAAGGGAAGTATGAGTATAAGAAGGATTACTACTTGTAGAATTAAATCCAAATTCGTCTTAAATATGATTTGTAAATTGAGCCTTACAAACGAAGACAATATTGTTTCCTGCTTTGTCGGCAAGGACCAGTACGTACTGATCATGTTATCTATCTAATTCTTTTTTCACTTCTGGATTATTGAACACAGAAGGATATATGGTTTTCATGTTGCCCCTCAATCTTTTAATACGCGACTTAAACATGGATCTGATACATCTAATTCATTCTGACAAAGTGTCAACATCTTCTTTTTCCTATCTGGCCCATTGTCTGACGTAATTTTCAACAGAATCCATAATATTTATGAAATTCCAACGCCAGTTGAAGGAGTGGGGTCATGCATTCTACTTTAAAATACACACTTTTTAACTACCTTATATAAAGTACTAAATTTTTTCATGTATATACAGGAATTACCATTACATCGAGAACGTTCTTATGATGATATAAAAAAATCCTCCAAAACTGGCAAAAATGTACATCTGAGTGAATAACAGTTGAACCTTAAGAGATATATATAAATAAAAAAAAACACTTCCCTTTTCAACACTTTTTAGCCCACAGACACCTGACCAATGGTGCTGTTTCACCCCCTTTCTTATGAGATTTTATAGGCATAACCTTTGCAAATTGATGAACTCTATTAGTCTATCATGCCATTACTTCGATATAAAGTCCTAGCACATACCGTCCAAAAGTTAATGCTAACGTAAAATGTGAAATTTTAGAGTAAAAAGTCTCAAACTTCAAGGTCAATGTCATAAGGTCAAAGTTGGTTGTATACAAAAAAGGGTATTGTCATAAAAATACAACTGTGAAATATGAAAGCCATAGTTCCACCCAGTTTAAAGATATGGGCAACATTTATGCAAGCATGTATACAAACAGACGGACGGACAGGTAAAAAAAAAAACTGTATACCCCGAAACTTCATTTACGGGGAGTACCGTTCACGGTAGCTCAGTCGGTAGAGCGCTCGCTCCGTGATCGGGAGGTCGTGAGTTCGTATCTCAAAATTTGAAGCCCTTCACCGGCATACGGTGACGTCTCCATATGAGTGAAAAAATATCGAGAGGAACGTTAAACAATATACAATCAATCAATCAAGCATTTACGGAGGCTTAAGTATAATATTAAAGTATTAAATTTTCATCATCCAACATTTTAAAAAATTTTCTATTAGTAAAAAACTCCTAAAATCAATATATTGAAGTACATGTAGAACGGGGAAAACGATACTATATGTGCCAATTTTGGGAAAGACGCGCACTCCTTTTCTTGTAGTTAATCATGTTTTATGCTACAACCCCCATTTTGTTTATGTTTTGTTGACACTAGCAAACGACAAAAGACATTTTACAGGTTTTGAGCTAACCATATTTTGTTTCCCTTGTATCATAGGTCAGATGCAATTTAATTTCGTACTTATTTTTACAAATCAAATCATCCCTATTTTCTATGAGAAGTTTGAAACTTCATTCATAGAAAACCAAGTGTTTTTATAAGATCTAATTTTCTAAGATAGCGCCCTTTTTCGCGCCAGTTTTAAAAGTAGGGATCAAAAACGTTAAACTTTTGAAAAAATAAAACTTTATTTTGATTTTTGCAAATTATTTATCTAGGGTAAAATCAAAGAGATTTATATTTAATTAATTATTGAAACTTTTTTCTGACAACAGCTAGAAAATAACCTTTTTTAGGATTAAAATGATAATTGTGAAAACTTACTGTATAATTAAGAAAAAAACAACGTTATTCAGTGAACATGGCGTTATGAATAGCATATGCTCTGCTGGCATATTCCAGGATGCGTGCTAGCGCATCATTGAAAAAAATGCCAGCAGAGCTATTACTATTACTTATATTTGCATTCTTTGATTTTTTTCAAGAGTATCAGATGAAATCCTGACTTACATAAGGACGCAGCTTCTTGTCTACGGTAAAGAAAAACATACGGCTTTAAAATCAGTAAACCTGATTACTGCTCCTTTTCTCTAATAAATCACAAACAATTTATAAAGTATTTCCCTCTCAGACACAGTTATCTGGATACAAGCAGCGCTGTCATACATTTTTGTTTTGATGCAGTTGTTACGTCATCGATTAACCCTCTGACAAAAAACTATGATGAAAAATGAGAATGATTTTATAATGATAATTACTCCAGAATGCTTTTCTATATTTTTTTTTTGAGTTTTTCTATTTATTTTTAATAGCTGAAATCATTCTTGAAATAAATAAACTAGTTAAAGAATTTTCTCTTTCTGAATGTTATTACCCAAGTGTGAAGAGTTATCGTTCTTTGTACAAATATGCATGATACGAAAAAATAAAAATATGGCAGTTCTCTATAATTTTAAAAAGTTTTATTATACAATTAAATACATTGACCAAAATTGAATTTTTAAAGATATAAATCAGCAATTCTAAATATTCTGAATTTCTTTTTCATCAAAGAATATTATTAAAAACTTATTTTTATTCCTCTTATTTCAAATATACACTTCTCAACACGGTTTAAAAGTGTAGTAGAGATTCTTCTACACGAGTGTGATAGAGCAATTGCACTCACAGTAGAAACAGTTGCGTCTATTTCAGGAATGAAGCTTATTTCAACTTATGTTATCCGATTTAACATAACTTGGGGCAGTTTACGCTTTATAAACCGCGAAGCGGTTTATAAAGCGTAAAATTTTGGTCTTTATAAACCGCGAAGCGGTTTATAACAAAGCGTAAACTGCCCCAAGTTTTGTTTTATCGGATAACATAAGTTGAAATAAGCTTCATTCCTTACATGTATAATTTAATTTCAGGGTAGATAATAAGACAATATCTCCTCCGGAAAAAGTTTTAAAAATTGAGCGTTATTTTAAAATTAACGTCAAGCGGAGTAATACGTTTTTGACGTAACTCATTGTGACGTAGGCAAGTTATATTATACAAAATGGATAAAACCGTTTAACCAATCAAATGACGTGTTACAACTAAAATTAAATTATAATGTAATAAACGTTTCTATGCTGAATGGGAGTCAGTCAAAGCGCCCCCTAATAAAAACGTCCCGGTCAAAGTGTCCCCTAACTTTCGTCAATCTTTACTGTCCCCAAGAAATGGTCAATGCGTCCCCTGGTTTTTGTCAAAGCGCCCCCTAATATATTTTTACAGGGAAAAAACGTTTCGAGTCCATCCCAAAGCAATGTTCAAAATGTCCCCTGATTTTGGTCAAAGCCCCCCTATAGAATTAACTGCCAAACAATGATAATATTATAAATACAAAACAGTTTTATTCCGGAACATGTTTGTAAAAATATTAGGGGGCGTCTTGACCAAAATCAGGGGAAGCTTTGACAAAAATCGGGGACGTTTAGATTGCTTCCCAGACGATTTTTCCTAAGAAAAAAATGTTAAGGGGCGCTTTGACCATTATTTGACCATTATACTGTAAAATTCTATAAGGGGCGCTTTGACCAAAATCAGGGGACGCTTTGACCAATATTTAGGGGCGGTTTTGTAACATCATTTTAATGTAAAATTCTATCAGGGGCGCTTTGACCAAAATCAGGGGACGCTTTGATCGGGACGGTTTTATTAGGGGGCGCTTTGACTGGATTTCTACAAAACAGCTTGATATTACCCGTAGACATTCGCTTAACAAGAATATTCCTACCAAAACGAATGTCAAAAAATGACAAGGGGTCATTATTCTGCGGGGTCATTTTTCTATAATGCACACGAAAAAAAAAAAAGAAAAAAAACGACCCCAAGGCCATAATTTTTACAGACTAGTTGGTCATTTTCTACGTAGAAAATTGACCTGGGGGTCAAATTTCTTCATAGAAAAATGACCCCCGGTCAATATTCTACGGGGGTCACTTTTCTTCGTTACACCGGCAGGTAGTGGCGTCTCTATATGAGTGAAAATTTCTCGAATAAACGAATAAAAATGATATTAGTCTCTACCATCAAATTAGTGTTCCATATTGAAAATAGAAATACTGGTTATTTGTATTTTTATCAACAATTATCTATAGAATGGTCACCTTTCTAATCCGAGTAGTAAATTAATTGCCATTTGAATATTAGAGTTAAATCAATTTTGCAAAGGTTGTTGCCGTGGTCTTGGTATCTTGGTGTGATGTTACGAAACGTAGCAAATCCTGTGATCTCAAGGAAGCCGTCGAATATCTACGCCTGAATTTTACTGTATCTTGTAAATATGGAAATTCTAAAGAGAACATCAAAGAAATCTGGGAAATAGGAATATCAACACTTGTCCTGGATTTCGTTTTTCTCTTTTTAAGCCTGATTTTATTTATGATTCCTGGTGAAAGACAAAGAAAAGGATATATAGCTTGTTATACCGTGGTAAGTTTTACTTATTATATTTACGTTACCCAACCTGCATATAATGACTAATTGATTTGGAAGTATGGAATGATATCTTCTTCATCGTCTATTTTACCATATTGATGATACAGTCTCTTCTTTCCTAGCTGGCCATACAATCATTTGTGTTGGTATGTCTGCTATTTCTCCGGTACAACAGTATTGTCGATTTCAAAGCAACTAAGACAGAAACGGTATGTTATCAATTTCTTCAAAGTTGCATAAAGTTTACTAAAGTGTATATTCTGATACAAAACTATGATATAACTGACGCCTATATAAAGATATTAAACTTAAAAGGATGGATTATTTAAGATTAGTTATTGTTCCAAATCCTTTGCTTCTTTTCCCAGGATTATGGAGAAATGAAGAGTGCAATGATCCAATCACTCAGAGACAATTTTACTTCGGATGTTATAAGCATCAAGGCTAGTACTTCCGACCTTTGGAACAACTTTTTTCTCAAGGTTAATTGTTTTAAAAATGTATCTTATTAAAAACATATATGATTTTATCAACATTCTGAGATTTATTTCTAAAAAAAAAAACCAATATAAGTGTGAAACACAAATTCCCCCGTATGGCAGCTTATGTCGAGGGTTGAAGTTTCTCAAATGCAAGTTAAACTCTAATGTTCTACAGTCAAGTGACATAATTATTTGCCACTTCAAAATGGCCACCGAAATTTTTACATCGCGCACCTTGATATTTAGGAGCTGTTTAAAAAATAATAAATGCCCATCTTACCTCAATACTTTGTTAAATTGCCTTTCATCATTAAAACTTCATTTAGTCTGCCGGGAATTGTCTTATACAGGTCCTCAATGTCGGAGGTTGGTATATTTTCCCAAGCAATCCGAATTTCCGCCATCAGCTGATCTTTTGTTTTAATGAATTTGGCACGGGTTTCCAGTGTTCTTTTTAATTTTACCAAATGTTCTCGATGATATTTAGATCAGGGAACGGGACAGGCCATTGGTTATTGACGATGTATTCTTTAACTAAATTTGCTCTATGAACGGAAGCATTGTCGTCTATAAATACATACTCGTTATCTGGAAAATGTCTGGCTAAAACGGACCAAAGGTTGTTGTCTAATATTTAAGGTCTTCCGTTTCCAACGGAAGACCTTCTACTGATTCTGTTGGTAAAGATTATTATTCTTTTTTTTTCTTCTACTACTTCCTAGACGCCAACATTGAAGCCTCATATCTCACTCATTTCTCAACTGATTTCGCTCAAATTTTCAGAGGTACTAGAAGTTACTAAACTCTATCAGAATGCTGTCGAAAATTTCAAAAGGTCACTTCCGGTTTTGAGTTATTTCCCTTTAAACGAAAATTTATAGGCTTTCGAATCCAGACAAAGGCTCAGAGACGGCTAAAGCTGGAGCAGAAATTCTACTGATTTTAGATAATAGAAGGATTGAAGTTGTGCACATCTGTTTTTGTTTTTCGATTTCTCTATTCAAAATGGTGCTATATAGGGGTAAAAAATTAGAACGCTTAAAAGAGCTAAAAATTATTCTGCTTTTTATCTTCTAAACTAAAATTATTTTGTTAAGACATATAGAACAAAATTTGTGCAGAATTAGAAGATCTTTCAAATGATTCTCGGAAAAAGGGCTGCCCCCTAAATTAAGGGATCTAGAGGGGCCAAAATTTTTTTCCAGATATCTCAAAAAGTATTGAGAATTTGTAATACGTCCAAGAAGCAAAATGTCAAGCTTAATCTATTGAAGTCGTCAAAATGCGTCCGGCGACGTCACTTCCGGTTAAACCGGAAGTCGTCAGAAAATGCATATTTTTACCGTTCTTGATAAGTTTTTGGGTAACATATGTCACTGGAAGCATAAAACTTAATTTTCTGTCCGTCGATATCACTTCGGTCAAACCGGAATGAGCCAAAAATAGCTTATTTTTAAAGGTTTTGATGCAAAATTGAAATTATAAAGTGACTGGAGACGACTTAGCTCATTGCTTTCTTTTGTTGACATCACTTCCGGTCAAAACAGTACGGAAGACCTACTCGTTGCTTTGCAACGAGCTTTGCTCTAGTTCAATATATTTTCTTGCATTTATGTTACCTTCTACAATTTTCTACCTGTCCCGTTTCATCAAACTTTTTAATACTACAATTCTAATGTATTTCTGTTGTTTTGATATGCTTCTACAACCATTCTTCTGACGGACGTATCTAATTCTTTCCCCTTGCGACTCTTATTGTTTTTCACATATATTTATCGAAAAACCATATAGCAGATGACAAAAATATTGTGTACATGTCAGCAATTTTAGTATAACAACACAAAGATAAAAATAGAATGGGAAAATCTTTTGTCTAAAAATAGCACTCAGCCCTACTTTATCGAACATGCGATAAAAAAAATTTGCGCGGAAGTGGCGAATAATTATGTCCCTTGACTGTAGGTCAAAAGATCAAAAGTGTTGATATCAAAGGAAGGTCTTGTCATAAGGAATACATGTGAAACATGAAGGCTATTGTACTACTGTATAGGGGATTAATTTCACGGGTTGTAATTTTCACGTTTTTCTCTCATCTGACACGATCACGGTTTCTTGAATTCGCGGAATTTGGTACGTAATAAAAGTTACTTCGCTTGTCTGCATTTAATCCATACCATAGCTACATGTGAACGACATTAATCAGCGTTCTGTCTTTATTTCACGGACAACAGAGTAAGTTTTTATAAAATAGGTAGATTTCATAAATACATGTTTTAAATTAACACAAGTGCAGTTATTGATAGTCTCTAAACGTTAAATGACTTTCCTACATGCTATTACGATGAGTGCATGTGCACCCGAGATCTTCCATACAACGCGGCGAAAAACCACTGGACGGAAATAAAACTTTTTATGTAGTTCTACGAAATAATATTCTTCCACACTTCCTTCATCAGTAAGTTCGATATTTGAATGATTTTTTAAAACCAAAATGTCGATAAAAACTACATGAACTAATATGCATTAGAATGCAGGTAACAAATACACGTGGTAACATTAGTTACGCACGGGTAATCAAAACCCATGACCTACGTGTTTTGATTGATGAAACATGCAGCGTTGGCTATTAAAACAGCTTTTGAACAAACACAAATTATTATCTGCCGATTTGAATTAAAGTAAAGCGTGATAATTAAAATTAATTGAATGACAGTACTACTCGCAATTGCTGAAATGACCATGGACTACACGTACGCCTATATAAATCTATCGTGATCTATTCTCAAATTTCCAAATAAAACATATAGATTATTGAAAATTTATTCACTGTTTCTTGAATTCACGGATTTGTTAACACCGTGAATATAGCGAATATTAACACCGCGAGTTATTTTCCCCCTATACAGTATCTGTTTAAAATTCATCGCCGAGGTTAAATTTTTTTTTTTTTTTGAAAAGTTGGCTAATTTGCAAAACCAAGGTCAAAAATATTAAAACTCAATGAAATGTGTTGTTACATTAAATAATGTGGAAAAATGTAAAAAAAATCTTTTGCGACAAACTTATAAAGAAACAAGAAGTATAATGAATCACTAATGTCCTCGCTTATGACGAAGATTGCAGTTTCTTAAAACAAAACAAAACAAAGTCCAAGGCAAAAAGGTCAAATTGTTGGTATCCAGAGAAAGAGTTAATTAAATAATGCGGTAAAATATAAAATAAAAAAAATCTTTTGCGACAAACTTATAAAGAAACAAGAAGTATTATGAATCACTAATGTCCTCGCTTGTGGTGAAGATTGCAGTTTCTTAAAACAAAACAAAACAAAGTCTAAGGCAAAAAGGTCAAATTGTTGATATCCAGAGAAGGCCTTGTCATAAGAAATAATCCTGTGAGATATGAAAACCCTGGTTTAGCTGTTAAAAAGTTATGGAAAAGGTTGATGTTTTGAAAAAACTGGGTCAAACTCTAAGTTCGAGGTCACAAGGACAAAAATATCTATACACACTGAAAGAAAGGTAGTGTCAAAATGAATACACATGTGAAATATAAAAGCCCCAGCACACACTGTTCAAAAGTTATGGCCTACACCTGTAGATAAACGTTTGGTAATTGTTTTGTAAAAGTAGGTTAAAGTCCAAGGTCAAGAGGTCAAATTTGGCGATGTCTCCAAAAAGGCCATGTCTCTAGAAATGTACCTAAAAGATATGAAAGCGATAACATCACCCACCTAGCAGTTATGTGCAAGATCAAACAGACAAACAAAAACCCAGACAGACAGACAAACAGACAATTAAAATAAAGATTATAAGTGTCGAATAAAAGTCTGAATAATGTATGATTATTCTGGAATATTTTTACTCAATTTATATCATTTTCTTTAGAAAAGAGTAAATGCTGATAAATGAATAGTAGTAAGGACAAAGCGACGATGTACTCATGTTACAGTAATAGAAGATTCGAATAGTATATATAGTTTTTGGTGTCTTCGATTGTCTTCTTGGAAAACTTTTACTTTGCCTTTAATCTTGTCTTTCAAAAACATGTATATTCCTTCTAAAAAAATTCTGACGATAGGGTTAGACATATTTTTGTTAAGGTTAACCACATTTTAACGTAAGGCATGAAAGTTTAAAGGCTTCGAGATAAGCTTCTATACCTTAGATAGGTATATCAATTATCTAAATCTTTTTAGTGCAACAATATTTTATTATTCAGACCTTTAACTCGAAGTTGTGCCTACATTTTAAACATTTAACCTTGACTAGAACTTTTGAACGATGGTAGTTAGAGCTTTTATAAATCACTTTTTTTATCCATTGTTACAAATAACTTTTAACTCGATCTTGAGATGCCATAAGGAAGCATCAGTGTTTCCTGTTTTTAATTGCTCACAACTTACTCACACCGCATAAATTATACATCTGTCTATAAGTATATATGAATGGAATATGTAAATGAAAGAGATTTACTTCATATACAAAAGTTAAAAATGTATTCTCTACTGCAAAGTATATTGTCAATAACTGTATTGCTGTGTATCAATCAATTGAATGTTTTCCATGTTTCAGTACGATTGTTGTGCTGTAAACCAAGTCACTAGCACAACCAACGACTTTGACACGACCCCTTGGTGTACTACGTCTGGTTCCTGTCAACAGACGAATTCTGTAATTCCAAAATCTTGTTGTAAAGCATATACAATCGATGATTATAATGAGGCACCGGCCAGTTGTCATGCTGATGTCCAGGCAGGAACATATAGAGATGTAAATATCATAAACATAAAAAGTATAATGAAAATCATTTCTAAATGCTAGGAATAGGGTAAAAGTTCACACTTTGTGCCTTAAATGTTACTCCAAAGTGGTCACAGTGTGTTACATGTATCATAATCATATTATGTGACCAACAATACCAAGAATTAAAGAATACTACTACTACTTATAATAATAATCTGAGCAAAAATTGTTTTATTTTTTCTTTATTTCAGAAGTGCCACACCAATCAATTTTTAGCTCACCCGAGCCGAAGGCTCAAATGAGCTTTTCTGATCAAAATTTGTCCGTTGTCTGTCGTTGTTCTTGTTAGCGTCATTGTAACCTTTTCACATTTCATTTTCTTCTCCTGAACCACTGGGCCAATTTCAACCAAATATGCCACAAAGTATTCTTGGGTGAAAGGGATTCAAGCTTATTCAAACGAAGGGTCACACTATCTTCATAAGGGAGATAATCATGAATACGTGAAAAATTAATGGGACTTTAAAAAAATATTCTCAGGAACCACTGGGCCAGGAAAGATGAAACTCATGTGGAACCATCCTCGGATAGTATAGATTGGTGGGGCCATGATGGGTGGTCAAAGTTTAACATAGGAATGTATATTGAGAATCTTTAAAAATTTTCTTCTCAAAAACCACTGAGCCATGAAAACTGAAACTCATTCGGAAGCATTCTCTGGCAGTGTAGATTCCAATTTGTTCAATTATGTTTGATCCTGTCTCCCGGGGCTAGGATGGGGCCACAATAGCGGATCGAAGTTTAACATAGGAATACATGGGGAAAATCTTTAAATTCTTTTTCTATGAAAGCCATGATTGGTCATAGTTATATGGAGGCATCCTCATGTGGTGTAAATTCAAGTCAATCCATAATCAAACTTGAACCCACTTTTATATTCAATTTTTCAATACTGAACTGATTTTTGCTTTTAGTTGTACATAGCCAGAGCTCAGGTGAGCGAGGTGGCCCCTAGGTCTTTTGTTTATGTATTGTTTAACATTTCAGAGCTGTTTTTCTCGTGTTAAGATGTTGGATGACTTTGCCATAACAGATCACCAGATTGATGTAATAGCTACCATTACCTTAACCTTGGGGATTTTGAAAGTATATTTATGTTTTAATCAAATTTTGAGCTTAAACAGTATCACCAAAAGGAGCATAATAATCATGCATTTGAAAATTGAAAATATCTTTAAACCAATTAAACAGACTTTATGTATTTTATAAAAATAATATATAACGTACTTTTGAGAATGTTCTGATGCTTTATTCTACCTTACTGCTTATTTCCTTTCATATCTTATTCTCTCTAACGTCTGATTCACTTCAACAGTTTATTTCCACTTACGTCTCTGTACTCTAACAACTTATTCACTCAGGTCTTATATTCAATCAAACGTTTAATTCACTTTTACATCCTCTTCCCTATTAAGTCTTATTACTTCTAAAATCTAATTGAACGACTTATTCCATCTAACATCTCTTTTTGTCTGTCGTTCATCGCTTCCAACATTTTATTTCCTTTTACGTCTTATTTCCTCTAACTTCATCTTCCCTTCTTTATTCTTATATCTTATTCTATGTTAAGTCTTATAGCAAATAAAGTATATCTTCATCTTATGTTTTACTCCTTCTCACGCCATCTTCCCTCATTTTTCCTTCTAACGTCATCTTACCTCTTTTCCTTCAAACGTAATCTTCCCTCTAACGACTTATTCCCTCTAGTGACTTAATCCTCATTTTCAGTGTCTGTATGGGCCTTTGAATACTGTTTGTCATCTCCATATGATTCCTTGAACATTTTTTCCCCTCATACGTCCTATTTTCTCTAACTTTTCAGGTTGGTGAGTTCATCCTGGCTTTTGGGATAGCTCTAGGGGTGGCTCGAAATTGTAAGAAAACTGAAAAGTATAAAACACAGTAATGAATGTTTAGATGCAATTTAGATGCAATTTCAACACAGAATCAACAAACCACATGGCTTATGTTCTGAACTTAAAATTTTACTTTTTGATATCAGTATGCCTTTTCAAGATATGCTTATTTGTTGTTCATTAAAGGTAAACTTCTCCCTACATAATTTTATGTACATATTAGGGGACCCCAATTTTTACAAAGGAGCACAAAAGATGTAGTTGAGCCAAATATGTTTATTTTTACACGTAATAAATGGTAATAACAAACAATTATCATAGCAAAAACTGCATAAAAATAAGATTGTAACACATATAAACATGTGTATTTGTGGAGAAAGATAACAGATGCGAGCTCTGAAGATAAAAGTAATTAAAGATGCTGACCACTAGGAGTTGAACTTTTACTGGACGGTTCCAAGAAATGATCCATTGGAATGCGGTTGTTTACTTGTTTATCAAAAGAATGTGTTTGGTTAGGGTGAAGAAGCAACCAGTAGTAATGAAGTGACAAGAGGTCAGATGTTGGGATAAATTAGCTACAACAAATCATATTACTAGATAATGCAAACGAATTGAAAGTATTTATAAAGTGCATTAGAAATTTAAAAAGTGCTCAAGGTCAGAATTAAAGTAATTAAAAATTCAAATATTGTAAGAAACTATTTATTGTAATCATACTATTACAAATGGATTGTTTAATCTAATAAAGAGTGGAAAGCTGAACCGTGACTCTCTTGGTTGCATTTTGTACAGGTTGGGTAACATATCCACTCCCCAACACCAGTGAGCCGCTCAGTTCAGAAAAGGTCCATAGATTTACAGGGAATTGGAAACAGAATAACAAGAATTTGGAATTAAACCGTAGATCCGATATCCTTGAATACGTACCCTTGAGGCTTTCCTCAAGGATTTTAAGAGTTCACTTGGCATTTCCGCTCACTGAAATATTATAGCAAAGATCCCGGGTGTAAATAAACGAACTCGTAAGCTCAACAGTCCATTAAAACAATAAAAATTAGAGCAAGGACCATTTAAAATATTAACGGTGAGATCAGGTGCGGTTGGGGAGAGGACATCCCCTTCCGAACCGTCACACCCGCCATGTGCTCCTCGTCAAGATCGGGAAATAACAAAAATCCGTAAACAATTCATTGCGTTAGCAATTGCCTAACAATAAGTATGAAAAATTTATATTTGCATTTTACTTATTGTTGGATTGTATTTGTGGACAAAATCATCGTTTCGATCACAGAACCTGCAAAATGATGAGTTTAAATGAGACCGTTCGTATTTTTTATGAAACAACTTCTTTGGCATTGATTTGCTTTGTTTTATACACTGTTTGTAGAACATACTCCTGCGTATAGAATAAACTGACAAATGGATACAAACCCCATTTGCATGTGATAAAGGTATATTGCTACATAAGCACATCAGATTTACACCATTTCTCGGAAATATTGTTTCACAGTACTCATTTTAAATTTTTTAACCTGCAATTAGTGGCTTGGTAGAACCTGCTATGTATCTTTGTAACGATTTGTATTTTTATGAAGGTTTGGAACCCATAGGTATGTAATTCAAATTAATATTGGTTATGAGGGATATAAAACATATTAAAAACTGACATATGATTTTGAAGATTTTCCTTCTTAGAAAGGAAGTTATAGGTATAAGTTGGATTACCACTTGTAGAAATATATCCTATTTCGTCTGAAATACAATTTAAAAAATGAGCCTTAATAAAGACAATGTTGTTACAAACTACTGATCTTGTAATCAATCGATTTTTAAATAAAAAAAAAACACTTTTGAATCATTGAACACAGAAGGAAAAATAGATATTAAAGAGATCCATAAATATCTATGAAATAAAACATGTGGAGATAACGAATAGTTTTCATGATCAAAAGTCTACAATACAATATAAAATAGGAGCAGAGCAAACATGGACCTCCAAAACATCGGAGGTGGGATCAGGGCATACCCTGCTGACCGGTCACACTCGCTGTGTGCTTCTTGTCATGATCGGGTTATAACGGTAAAATAAAAAAAATACTAAAAATCTGCTGAACCAATGTATCTATCAGATGAGCATTATAGTGTATATATTGGGTTGTATTGGTGTATAAGAGAGAGAGAGAGAGAGCGCTAAAAATACTTGGCTATTGTGTTTAAGAAACATTTTATGCATAATTGATCATTTAAAGACAAAGAGTACTTTTAAACAATCCACGAAATCGACGGAGTCCACGAAAATCGCTATTCCACGAATTTTGGATATAAAGTGATGTTTTTTGTGAAGAGATGAACTGGCATTCGAAAAAAAAATAATGTGGATGAGGTGAGACAGGCCATTGGAAAAGGGAGCGTTTGACGTTTTCATAAATTATTAAACAAAAAAAATTGTTATTTACCTAAGTAGTTAAAAAAAATATTTTATATCAGACTTACTTTTCCCCGAAAAGAGGTAACTCCAAACGACATATGTACAGACTTAATGGGAGTTATACTGCTTATCAAAGACAAAAAAAATGGATTACTGGAGAACGGATCACAAATAAAACTAGAGGTACTGTGAGCAATGAGCTCACTAAATAATAACCCCGGCATCCCGTAAGATTATAATGGCACGATCCATGTTTTGCTCCGGGAGACCCGAAATTAGTGTCAGATCAAAAAGTAAAATAGGAGGTCACAATGGCATTATGTAAAAAAGAATCTGTGAAAGTTCAGTGGTATAGGAGGAATTGCAGATAAGGGATTGATATCATTCAATATAACAGAAAGAATGGCAGCGTCATGGTTTTGCTATGGAAAACCCATAATATAGTGTAATGAGTGATGAAAAAGGCCTATACCATTCAAACGTTGGTGTGACCTGGAATAATGGAACAGTCCAGGAGACTGTTCACCCCTGTTTGAATGGTATAGCCCTTTCCTATATAAAAGGCTGCAGAGGCAGTCTCGATCATTCTGAAACCCGTAGAAGTAAGAAGTTGATAAGAAGATAATAAGTAATATTAAAACAGAAGAATTAACACAGTGAAATAAAATCAAGGCTAGGGTACAGAGCGCCGGTAAATGGTAAGCCAAGAATTGTAGTGAAGTGCAAGGTATAGTAATCCTGAATAAGGGTGAGGTACCGAGTACTCATTACAGTAAGACCTTGGTTTCGGAACCAGGTGCAGGGAACCCAGTCATACAGGTAGTACTTGGTATCAAAGAACCTCGGCTTGTAGATCCCGCTGTTTAAATTAAAAAAATAATAGAACAAGGACAAGTATCCCACGAAAATAATAAACAATCATTATTGTAAATAATTTTAATTCCCAGTATTAATTATAGGCTCAGATAGAGCCAGAGGAAAATTTCATTTATAGTTATTTAAAATTAAGACCCTGTACATGTATCCCTTGAAAACGGACCCTTAGGTCACACGTTACAATATGTCGAATCAAAAAGTAAAATAGGAGGCGCACAATGGCGTTCCATTTGTAAAAGGCAAATACAATAGACTCTTACTGTCATTAAGTTTTAGTTCTTGTAGAGAGGTTAAATGAAAGGAAAAATTACATCAACCCACAATATGGCGTTTCAGTCTTGACTGTGTCTCATGCGATTTAAAATTTGGTGAGGCGAAGCAAAATTTCAACTTTATAAACCAATAAAGGTATTTGTTGTGCAACTGTTTTTCCCCACGGTCACAATGTAAATACTTTTGTCTTATCTTTTTAAGCAGAAGTTTAAAAATGTGATATCTGATCCAAAGTTGGTGTCAATGTTGTCATGAATTTATAAAAGTTCAAGCATAAACGTTTATGAATTCATTTAAGGAATAAAGAGTTAAAAATGTCTTTGATATATACCTTGATAATTTTCACTGTAGTGAAGTTAAGAGTAGTAGGTAGTTGGGGCAACTTATAGATATAAATCTCATTCAAAGAAAAACCCCACAATTATAAAAGAAAATAGATTATCGATGATTGTATGTTGTTTAACGTCCTATTCGATAATATTTCATTCATAGAGAAAAGTCACCTAAAACCGATGAAAGACATCAAATTTAGACTTTTACTGGGCACTACGGGTCATTGGGCGCTGAGGGACAGACACCGACATCGTGACACGGTGTCTCGGTTTATAAGGTCTCATCCGAAGGAACCGTAACTGCTGATGTTGTTTAGATACCGAGTTAACTGAGATGTATATGAGTAACTTCTTCACCCTCCTTTAAAGTCATCATTTCGCAAATTCTATGGTCGAAAGAATGATTTGGTAAAACGCTGACTAACTTTTTTTCATACAAATTCTGATGCCATTATTGAAACACTAAATTGTATACATTTCTTTTACTTACCTGATCATGACAAATCTACAAGAATACACGGCGGGTGTGACCGGTCGACGGGGGTTGCTTACTCCTCATTGGCACCTTATCGAACCTCTGATTTGAAAGTCTTAACGCAGCTGCTGATTTGTTTTGTTTCAAAGGACTCTTAGCTCCGTGGGGATCCGGGTTAGAATAGGTCCTCAGTACCCCCTTGCTTGTCGTAAAAGGCGACTAAATGGGGCGGTCTTTCGGATGAGACCGTATAAACCGAGGCCCCGTGTGACAGCAGGTGCGGCACGATAAAGAGCCCTCCCTGCTCAAAGGCCGTGAGTGCCGAGCATAGGCCTAAATTTGCAGCCCTTCACCGGCAATGGTGACGTCTCCATATCAGTGAAATATTCTGGAGAGGGACGTTAAACAGTATACAATCAATCAATCAATCAATCAATCAATCAATCAAAGGACTATTGTTCTTGAATTCCGTTACCTATGTCCACATTTCATTCTTTTAAAAAACTTTACAACAAAATTATGATTAACATGAACTTTGCGAGATTTTTTGTCTTTTATTTTCAATTTTACTTGCTTAAATTGCAAGTTAAATGATTATTTTATAAAAATCATAAGTACATAAGTGCATTTGTAAAATTAAAGAGAAATTAAAGGGACAATTGATTGTTTGAGTTTTAGTCGGAGAAATCATTCAAATTAGCATTATGTGAATGAAGAACATCTTGTAAGAACCCAAGTATATTTTGGTTACTTTAGTAAGCTGTTTCGACAATCCCAATATTCTAACAATTTCAAAAAAAAGAACCAAAGAGCAAACCGTCATTCATCACAATAAATCTTAAATATTGTCTTCTCCCAAAAATTATGAAAAAGAAATATCAGCTCTGAACAATGTCATTTATTTTGGAATTGAAAGCTTTCAAGTTATCGATTTTGCTTGCCGCAATTCTATCCCCGATTTCCTCCTCTTAAGCATTTGAGGTATTATATTGAAGTGTATCTGTAACAAGATGTTGAGCACCTCTATAGATAATGAAATGTCCTTATCTAGTCAACTACTTGTGTAAAATAAAAGTCTCATTAGAACATGTATTAGCTAAGAGAAAGGCCTTTAAAAATAGCAAAATATATTCTACTAGGCAAAAGATAAATCTAAATGATAATTTAGAAGAATTTATGGTGGAGACTGCTTTGAATTTATAATTGCTTGTTCGTTTTCTATCAATCCGTCATCCTAAATACCAAGAGTTTATGTTGGATGACCTTAAAAATGAGATACATATTTTATTTAAAGGCAAACATTTCATAGCAAATTATAATAAGGTATTTTGATTTATGATCGTTTAAGTGAGTTCCAGTTAAAACAATGTGCTACCAAACATCGTTCTTTTCTTTTCACTAAAATATTAGCAAAGGGCAGAAGCTTTAGAAGTACTTCATAAAACGAAGTGTGAATCAAGTTATTGATGCATTGAAAAATAGAAAATAAAAATAATTCAAAAATACAGTGCAAGATTTTACCAGAATCACCCATATCAAAAGGTGCGATTTAATTTTTTTTTTCTTTCAAACAATTGCCCACAAAGAATGTAAGTCCACACTCTTTGACCTTAGGTTGTTAAAATTGAAATAAAATTGAAACCCAAAATTATAGATAATTTGTTTTTGCATATTACTAGTCTTCTGCAAATAAATTAAGTTTAAAAAAATTCTCAATGTACACACAAGACCTCTGTGGTTTATATAAAATCGAATAAAAATAAACCAATTGAAACCAATGACGTCGCTAAGCGCGAGTTTCGCAATGTATAATTCTACGTGTAAGTACTTTATACCGCCCGTGTTTGTTTCAGAATAAAACTGTGTTCTTTGAAATCGCCCAGTTTTAAAATCGCCCTTTTGTGAGAAGGGCGAAAGAGGCAAAGATAAAACGGGGCGAAAATTTCCCCGTATAATGTATACACAAAAAGATTTTAACAAAACCAGACATACCAAAAGATACGATTTTTTTCCCAACATTGCCCACATAAAATGTTAGTTCATACTTTTTTTACCAAAGGTTGTTGTTGTTTCAATGCAATTGAATCCTAAAATTATAGATAATTTGATTTTGTATTTAGTCATCTACAAATAAATTCGGTTTAAACACATTCTTATTACTCACAAGTCCTCTGTGGTTGATATAAAATCGATTGAGAATATATCAAGGTTATTTTAAAAGCAAATCTGCAAACAATCTGTTTGGATTTCCAAGGGTTTCTTATTGCACTTCTCAAATTGCAGGTATTCATACGAAACAGAATTATTTAAAATTCCCTACATACAAAATGAAAAATATCTTGCTTCGTCCTATGATTAAGCATTTAAATATGTAACGGGAGAGGAGAAAAATGAAGCGGACCAGACAGGTATTAAAACCCGGACCCCCTGAAAATCCGGTCAGGTGCTCCACCAACTGAGCTATCTAGCCACCATCATTTTAACATGACTGCTTAACAATTTGGTTACGTTAATTCGATGTTGAACCTGAATTAAAGAGACAGAAACAATAGTTCATATTTGGGTTTTTTCTCGAAAAGAATATTAATGGTAACCTGAAAATCAAGCTTTTTCATAAACATGATGATTTCAATATTCCAATGTTCACTTTCCCATATCTATCCTAGCAATTTACCAGAAAATCTGCATATTGAGTTTATTTCTCCCAGTTGCTTCAATATGCAAGAGCATGCTCTGAGTACTTGCTATATCTAAATCTCAGCAAGTGTCTGACAGATCATTAACAGTCTATATAATAACCAAGTTAGAAAATATAATATATCTTTGATTGAAATGTTAATTGACTTTCTTCATCGAAATAGCCTGCTTCTCAATATGAGTTTAAAAAAAAAATAAATGAAAGGGAAGAAAAACAAATGAAACAACAGAAAATGTCAAATTGCTAATATATTCATTCTAACTTGATGAATACTGTGTATTTCCGGTTGACCGATCATCACTTTAAGGGTACAGGGTGGACGTGACCGATCTGATGGGGATGGTACGTCTTCCAGATCATCTCATCCCATCTTCGTTGATTTCATTCCCGTTATGTTTAGCTATTGTTTGCTCATAATTTGTATTCTTCCAATGGACTTTAAGCTTGATCACTGTTCGTTACCTTCTTTTTCAATATGTGAACAAAGTATTATAATTATGTATAATTTATGGTTGACTTAATGAATATGTCGCACGCTGGCTTATTGCTTTAAAATAGAAATCTTTATCAACACATCTTAATTTTGTAAAGGTATTTTAGTGTAAAAAAAGATTGATAAACGTACGTAGCAAACCTTTAATGTACAGTTCATTCGATGAGGCACCTTGCTGCAGGTTTATATATATGAACTTTTTTTAAAGAACCACTTAACTAGATGTTAAGAATAGTAAATCAATCAAGACCTTTTAAAAGAGGACATCAATCATTATCAAGTATGCGCAATTATCAGCATATAATTAACTTGAATACCCAATTCCATGACAAACAATATGATGCCAAAGTCAAATCTGTTTTACAGGAGACACATGGCACATTGGTTGCCATGTACAGGGAATCGTTGCCTTGGGTTGATTAAGTAAAAAAAATTAATAAGAGCAGCATTTCATTGTCAATTTTGCTCAACCACATTTTTCTGACTTAAATTGAATAAGCCTTAATAAGATTACACGTATACACCCAAAATTACCTTTTTTTGCCTCATTGCTATGGAGAAAATGTTGTTGCTATGGAGATAAAGAATAATGCAATATTCAATAATTTTCTAGGGAGTCTTAATTTAATTATACTATTTTAAAATTTGTATCTCGTTTATCATAGAAAACAGTTCATTTGATTTTTCCGTAAACTTTTTACATTAATTCTCATTTTATGCATCAAAACGACCATATTTGTTGCTAGGCAACAGATTCGATTTTCAAAAGAGCCCATGGATTTGACTTCAAAATCTAAAAGAGAAAATCCTCTGCTTTTATGTGAAATACACACAACAACTGTATTAATCTGCCCATTGTTAAAATTTGGCCTTGAATATTGCCAAAATCACGAAAAATGCTGAATCAGCTAAAATTGTAAAACATGTGTACCTTCCAATGTCTAGCACAGAACTGACTTAAGACCTAAATATTTTTTATTACATTGTTAGAACAATTTGAATGTGTATCTTTATTACACCAATAAGTAGGAATAATTCTCATTGTATTAACATGTTATTCTAAGCCTTAAAGATAGGTGATTTTTGGTCCATCAACAGTGAAAAATCTGCCGGTTGCTAAGGAAATTTCTTTGGCCGGGTTTCCATGGTAACCATGACTCAAAACATTTTTCATTTTACATACACTGTTCATACTTCAAAATAAATCTGTGAGTGGAAAATCATCAAATTCTGAAAGCCTTCATGTATCACTTTCATACAATTTTGTCTGATTTTTATATGGAGTGGAACTTAATTACAGAATATGCTTGTAAGATTAATATTTTCATAGATGTCCTTGTAATGTTTAGAAAATATTTTTAGCTCACCTAAGGCACTCAGGTGATTTACCGCTGAGGCTTCGTCGTCCTTTCATCGTCGTGCCTTAACGTTTGAAGAGCTTCTGTGGAACCGCTGAAAAGAGAATTTTGACATATAATATAGCTGGATGAAAGGAAATCACTGTGGATTTTATAATCCCTTAACCCTTACCTTGTGCTTAAACCATCGTAAATTATAAAATATTTTTAAAAACTTCTTGACATGATTGTTATACTAGTATGTAGTAAGTCCTCCATCAAATTTGTTAAATTCATAGTTTGGTTTTGGGTTGGGCTTCTTATGTGCTATACCGTAGTTCAAATGAATAAATATTTCAAAATTCATCTTTACCACATACTGTATATTGAGCGGACAAACTATTATGAACAAGAATGACTTTTCCGAAATACCGGCCGTAGTGAAGTCGTGGACCCATGGGTCTGAAGTTAGGGTTTCGCACTAATGGCCATATAATTTATGTATATGTACTTTAAAAATCATTTTTATATAACGATTATATTGCGTGGATTAATTACAATTCATGTATGCCAAGCAACACACCGTGGAGGACGAACGCTTAACAGATTTTCATCGTACGTACATATGTAATTACGAAATCGTAAACTAGACAGTTATTCCTTAAATGAACCTTATTGTGGCGAAAACTATCGTGTCTGATGTGAAATGTAACTCGGCATTTTCACGATCTTAATTTTCAGTTGATCTTGAATGGTGGTCATCCATTCTTTCTTAAAGAAATATTAATATTCCTTTAAAGAAAATAATAAAAGTAAAGTTGTTTCAGCGGAACATCATTTATTTACGATTTTCCCAACATTTCTTTATTCAAATTACCATATTAATTACAATTTTAGGCGGTGCAAGCTGTGATCCCACCAAATGCTACGCCATATTGGGCATAGCACTGACCGGAAGTAACCAGCCCCCACAGAATGTCAACAACTGGTACTATAAGATTAAAACAATTACTTCTTAAGCAGTTATTTTTAATATTTTAAATATGTCTCAGCATACAAAAAATTTTTTTTAAAAATGTTAAATTGCAGATTTGCAAAGATATTATATTTATTTTTTTGGCAGTGAAAAATATCCGATATTCAAGAACTGTGTGGAGACACAAAGACCCTCTTGTGAGGGTAACATAATGTTCTCCATGTTTGATGAGGCCTATACCCAGCTGACGATGGCGTGCGTTGGAGGAGTAATGCCAAGTAATGACAAAATACTGTAATTTACGATGTTTTTTTCAGTATCTCATTTGTCATAGATAGAAATTATTATGAGCAGACTCTTAAGTGTTGTTTAACATCACGCTATCATTCCGGTTTTTTTTTTATATTTGATATTTTTGAAATTCTAGGCATGGACAGTAAAAACTGTAATGTTACGGGCTTTGGAAGTTGTCTAGAAGAAGCAGGATGGCAGCTTTCTAATGCGAAAAAAGTCGAATATGGCTGGTAGGTACAGGAAAAAATACAGCTTTTATAAATATTAAAATAAAACAATCTAAGGCAGTAGATAGTTACTTCTTCATGTAAATTAAATAAGAGCATTTAAAAAAATCAATACGAGCCAGACAATCAGCATCAATATGAGAGAATATTGTATACATACACACATTCTTGTACTATTCCACTTGATTTTATAATAGTAAGTTAAATATATGTGAGATTTAAAAAGTGATCAACTGCTTTTTTATTTGACAGTGATGTCGTTTCTACAACTATGTTGTGTGTGACCAAGTTTGTGTCTGGGTGCAAGAATCATTCGTTATTTAAAATATCAAACCCAGCGATAAAACAGCTTCATGCCGCATGCAAAGCCGGTAAGGACATAATTTAGAATATTAATATGACGGAATTTCATTTCTTTAAATATTCAACCAGTTTCTGTAGTATATAGAAACGTACTGTTTCTTGGAACTATCCTTTTTCTTAAAAGAAAATATCAAAATTGTGCACATAGTCCTCATAAATTTATATAGCTATTTATGTTCCTTAGTTCTATTGCAAAACGACTGAGCTTGTTTTTTTTTTTTTTTTTTTTTCTTGTTTTTTCTTTTGTTTGGTAAAAGCAGAAAAAACAAATAACATCAAGTAGAAGTGAAGTATGTCATTTATTAAAGTAAATGACGAAAAGAAGTAAATCACACTTAACAAAATGGGGGTCAGAAAAATGGACTCAAATATAGAGTATTACACATGTTAAGCAAAGTCTTTTTCCAGAATTGTAAAATTATTTGCTGCATTGCCCATGGTTCAGAACCCAGTGAGTAGTCAGGTTGAACAAATATTTTACATATGATTATATTTCTTTTTAAAAATCTACAAGATTATTAAATCAAACCCGTATATACATGTAGGATAAGATGTATTTTTATACCATTTTTGAATTTTTGTCAGACACTGTTTTAAAATTATGGAAAAAAAATAGGCGAGGTCCTTAGTATTTTAAATCATTTCAAAAATATATTTCTCCAATTCATTAAAAAATAAAAACTCTAACAAAAAATTATAACCAAAGCTCTTTAACTTATTTGCTGGATTCTACTTGTAGTTGAGTTTTTATTTTTTTAATGAATGGGGGAAATATGTTTTTGATTATATATTATGATTTAAAATTTGAAAAAGAAAAGAAATCATAAAATATACAAAAATACATGTACAAAAGAGCATTAAATGTGATTTGAATTATTTTTAAATTATCTTACATTAATCATGATCCTCTAGGTGAAAATATTTTAGGGAATAAAAAATTATAGCCGAAGCTCTTTAACTTATTTGCTGGATTCTACTTGTAGTTTGTAAGGGCGGATGCCTTAATGGATTGGATTTTCCAGTTGAGAACTTCACGTAAGTATCCTTGTATTTATAATTGGTTTTTTTTTATTCTCCTCATAACATCTTTACAGTTTAGATTCCTGTAGAATATAAACACTGTTTTAAAACTATGAAAAAAAGGCGAGGTCCTTAGTATTTTTACTGTGGAGATAACTTATATTATGGTTTGAATAAATCTAAAACTTCAAAAAACTTATGATGAAATATCTTTTAGTGACATACAGAGATCTATATTGTGTCTGGAATCAGAACTTGAGAACTGTCCACAGAATAAAGACATACAAAGGAAAATTCAGGGATTGAAAAACCTTTGTTCTGACATATCTAGGAAGACAGGTTTGAGTTTTTATTTTTTAATGAATGGGGGAAATATATTTTTGAAATGATTTAAAATTTGAAAAAGAAAAGAAATCATAAAATATACAAAAATGCTTCCTCTTAAAATTGCATCATTGGCCTTTGAAAGGTATGAATTCCTTCAAGACTTGTCTTGCCAGCTCCAAAATTAACCAGAACTGCAAGCAATTCTTAAAACCATCTTTGCAAAAAGAAACGGAAAGTAATGAATGCAAGTAAGTGTTACTATTTCCTTATGTTAAAAAGAAAGATTGATTTCGAATTTTTTAAAAAATATATATATTTTGTATTTTTTTTTCATTCAAATAATTACATGTAATTGAAAAAAAACGATATCCAAAGCACCCCACAAGAATGATTTATTAATAAGTTTTGAAAATGTTAATTTTTTGTGGCCTAGAGTAAAGATATAGTACCCAAAGAAAGCAAGCTACATATTTATGGTCACGAATAATTTTTAATGGGCTTATGTAGGTTTATACATTGTACATGTAATCTTTGTAGTTTGTACAAAATTCACATAAAGACAAAGTTATATACATATATATATATAGTTCTGACTACCTCTTCTATTTTTTATAATTTGGTATCACAGAAGAATATCAGATTATTCATCATGTGCTACGATGGCTTTACCTACCTGTGAAAATGAAGAAATTAAGGAATTTGTATCAGAAACTGCTAAAACACTTGCGAGTTTGAATTCAAGGCGTGAAGGTGGAATCCAATGTCAATCAAGTAAGTTTAAAATTTGCGGTAAAATAAGGATATTACAAGCTTGCTTTCTTTTCAGTTCATACATGTTGCAGACACTTCAGAGAAGTAGTACTTAGCTATCAGATCAACAGAACCAATAACCCTGCCAAAAGGATATGAAAAGCGTGTTTTTGTACAAATGGCTATATTCGAGATGTTAAAGATTCTATGTTGTTTATTAATGTCAGTGAAAATCGGGGGAAAAAGCATGCCATGCCAGAGGGTAGGAAATAAAATATGCTATGATAAATAAATTGTAGGGTTGGTGAAATTATGCTCTCTTTGAATCCGTTGTAATTGAGGAAGAGTTAAACAATTATTTTTCTTTACAATCTATAAATTGATCATGTTTTAAGCTGAAAAAAATATTTAATACAATAAGTGTACTTAAGAGCATCAAAATAAGTTTATCAGTATCATTTTCATGAGTATCATAAATATACGAAAGCCCAGAAGGCTCATTCGAGATTCGAGTTTCCAAATACGAGATTCGAAATTCGAGATTCAAAATTCGAAATTCGAGATTCAAAATTCGAGTTTCGAGATTCAAGATCCAAACGAACCAATCAAAAGCGGGTTCAACATTTGATTATTTCCCTTTATTATGTTTTTACTATCAAGAAATAGTTCAATATAATTATATCAAATGGGTCATTTGATTAAATTACAATGCAAGAAAAAGTCTTATATATATTAGAGGGAAATTTAAATAATTAATGGAATTTTGATCAGCAAAAAATATATTATAGATTCTTAAATATTAAATAGATTTCATATATCAGGAGTATATATATTTTTGAATTCTCTACTAAACTTAATTTTTATGCATTTACTGTGTTAGGAAAACCACAGATACTTGTGAAAGGTACCCCCCCCCCTCCCTCCCCCCTCGATATTCAACCCTAGGGCTTATTGGACATTTTTTTCACAAGTTTTATTTATTAAACTTATTCATCATGTATACAATAACAAAAAATTGTAAAATCCCCAGAATAATCGCTCAACACCCCCCCCCCCCAAATACCCACTATGCATTATAAGAGAAGGATATGCCACTCCAGTCTGTTTACGTTGTACCCCCACTGGTGTTAAATGCATTTATTTTGTTTTAACTTTATATGTCGATTCACACTATCTCTACATATACAATGTATTTCCAGGGGCGGATCCAGGAATTGAAGTTAGGGGGCGCAAGGGGGTCTGGGGGCCACCTTGAGGCCCCCAGTGGATCCAGGTGGGGGCCCAGGGGGCGAAGGCCCCGGAAGCTCTTGGATTCTAGAGGTTTTGCAGGGTAAAAATGAGGTCTACCGAGTAGACATTTAAAACATTTTCTCGACAAACTATGTTTTATGCTAACTTGGACAATTTTAAGGGGGTGCGCGCCGGGCGCGCCCCCCTTAAATCTGCCACTGATTTCTGTCTTAATCCATGCTATCGGACTGACTCTGCATCACGTAATAATCCCACATTTTTTCCGTAAACAGCTTTCTTTCTTGTAAAGTAGGGTAATAAATAGTGTTTTTTTTGTTTTGTTTTTTTTTTTTTGGTTGAGCGATTATTCTGGGGGTTTTACGCCAGCGATTTTTTCGTATTGTAAGGCTACACATAACAGAGAAATAAGCCCCGGGGTTCAATATCAAGGGGGGGGTCTTGTCCACACGTACCTGTGTTTTTCTAAAAATTAAGACAAGAAACATGTATTGACGTAAGCCTCAAAAATCGGCCGCAAACCAATTAATGTTCCTTTTATGAAGCAACTAAAGACTATGGTGGTCTGTTTTTAAAATATCTTATATTTATCTTTTAATATATATCCTCGTGATATTAAAAGCTTGTGTTCTACATTGCATGATTTGCTTAATTATATAATGCATGTTCAGTATTAACCCTTGGTACTCTGCGTCAACAACTTTTGAACCGTGGGCCTGTATGGCATTTACATTAAAAGTTTAAAACTAAAATTAAATGTAATCTACAACTAGATATGCAGTGTAGTTTAATTTAATAAAAATGCAGCAAATATGTTGGTATCCTTGCTCTCTCTTAGAGGAAAAAACTAAACTCCCTCTAGATCCGCCACTTCATTTCTTCTCTTTGAGTTGTAGCGGGAAAATTCTTGGCACATTGTAAAACGTGCATTATCCTCGTCTGCTAAGGGCCAAATCTTGTAATATTTTGTAGCCTGCTAAGTCTTTTAATGAATTTACATTTAACCATATTTTTCAAAATGTTTATATGTGTACATATGTACACGTCATTTTAAAATAAATACGTACAACAAATCCCGTTTGAATAGAAAAAGTAAAATTGTGTAATATACATAACGCGGTCTTTGATTTAGACTACGCCCCTGTCTTAATTTGCTCCGCACTTCAAACATATCTAAATTTCTAAGTCAGTATTGGATGAATTATTTACCTCATTCTTCATAAGAATTTTTAATTTTATGTTTATTGTGCGTTTTTCTTTAACCTTAAGACCGTCTTTTTAAATATACTATTACATTAATGTTAAATATTTTTTATTTAAATTGTTTTAACTCCGCAGAAACGCACAGCGACTTCGAACTTTCATATCATATAACCGACCATCTCCTGGCAGCCGGTAATTTGTCATCAATACAAAAATATAATTATATACTCCTGATATATGTAATCTATTTAATATTTAAGAATCTATAATATAAATTGAAATATTCATTGCGGATCAAAAATCCATTAATTATTTAAATTTCCCTCTAATATATATAACACTTTTTTCTTGCATCGTTATTTAATGAAACGACCCATTTGATATAATTATATTGAATTATTTCTTGATAGTAAAAACATAATAAAGGGAAATAATCAAATGTTGAACCCGCTTTTGATTGGTTCGTTTGGATCTTGAATCTCGAAACTCGAATTTTGAATCTCGAATTTCGAATCTCGAATTTCGAATCTCGTATTTGGAAACTCGAATCTCGAATGAGCCTTCTGGGCTTTCGTATAAATATCTTAAAATAAAAACAATGGCTTTTTAATGGGATGTGCGATTCAAATTAAGGTCGTTGCAGTCAAACGTAAGGCGTCAAGGAAGTCCGATCGCTCCGTGATAAGAAGGTTGTGAGTTTGAATCTCGTCTGCGAGACTGTAACTGACCTAAGTCAAAAAAAAACTAAGACGTCATTCGCCATGCCCTCGGCAGTTTGAAGTGAATGTTGCTGGTCCTTCAGATTAGACCTTAAAATCCGAGGCCCCGTGTCACAGCAGGCGTTGGCACGATAAATATCCCTCACTGCTTAAAGACCCTGGGTGCCGATTAAAGGTCAAAATTTGAAGCTCCTCAGCGGTATATGACAATATATTAGTGAAAAATAGGAGCAGAGCAAACACGAATCTCTTAAACATCAGGGTTAAAAAATTGAAGCTCTTCATCAGTATATGGTGACTTCTCCAAATGAGTGATCAGAATAATTAAACCACAAATACAATAAATCAATCGAATAAAAACAATGAAATTCATTTTCCAACGTGCTGATGTAAAAATTGTGAAAGAAATTATTGTATCTGTAGTAAAATAAGTTTTAGAATTACCACAGGTACAACATATATTCTATGTAGTTAAAATACAATTATTTTTCAGGTGACGGTAGAACATATTTTCCAGATATGTGGATCCTCCTTTTCACAGGTTTCCTAACGTGGATGACCATTTTTCAGTAAACGACTACCTCAATATTGTTTTATTATTCTGTAAATACATTTTGTCTTCAATTTTTACATTTTTTTTCTTGTAAAGCTGGTTGTATTTAAAACGAGTGCATAGTACCTGTAACACTGTGTTCGTAAATAATCGTATGGAAGTATTAGTTTTTCTAGAATGCGTCTGATATTTATTTATTTATACTGATAAATGTTTTCCATTGTAAAGAAAATTCACTAGAATGTTAATCTGAACTCGTGCTCACACATGGTTGAAATGCATTCTAATTGAAGCAGCTATTTGAAGATATTTAACTGTTGCATGGAAGACAGTTTAAAGGGTTTTTACTAATTAACAAATATGAGCATTTTTTTTATAGATGTATGAATGCGATGAAAATACAAAAATACATTGAAAAATATTTAAATATTTTAAGGGAAAAAATTAAAACGAACTTTGGAATGTATATTTTACCATACAAATTATTGATAATTCCTTTATATTCTGTAATGGTGACATTATTCAGTTTCCAAAAATATGATTGTAATTTTCATTATGGAAAAGAAAGTTGTTTTTTTTTAAATTTGTATAGATAATATATGTATCTTATGAAAAACAATCATAAAATATGCAATATCAATATGTGTTTCATTTCTTTTAATTACGGAATGAAGCTAATGTCATCTTATGTTATGCGATGTAACATAACTTGGGACAGTTTACGCTTTACAAACAACGAAGCGGTTCATAAAAAAGCGTAAACTGCCCCAAGTTATGTTATATCGTATAACATAGTTGACATATTAATGCCAAGCGGAGTATTACGTTTTTGACGTAACTCATGACCATTGTGACGTAGGCAACTTATGTTATACGAAATGGATTAAATCCTTTACCCGATCAAATGACGTGTCACAACTAAAATTAAATTATTTACATGTAACATGCAAAATGTATTTGCAGAGAGATACAGTGAATATGTAGCACATGTTTCCCGTTTTTACTTGAACATTTCTCTTTAAACCCACACTAAAACTAAGAAAACAGAGAATGTTTCATTTCATTTTATTTATGATTTTTGCTTTACAGGTTTTTTTCTGAAGGAGCATTACTATTTATTTAGGAAACATAGAACACGTTTAAAATCTAAATGGTAATTTAAGGTTGATTATTTACATTAGAAAAGTCAAACACAAAAAATGGCTAATAAATACACAAGCAATTAAACAAGAGAGCTCAAAATCAGATTAGTTAATAATTAGTTAATAATTTTTTTTTTATCCAGAAATGTATTTAACTATTACTAATAAAATTTGAATACTTTAACGCATGCATTTTCTTCTAGCAATGTTTCCCAAATAACTATGGGGATGACAAACAATATAAAGCTTCAAAGTCCAAGAAAATGTTAGCAATGCTGCCACAATTAACGTTTAGTTTGTTCGGTATTCAGGGCATAAACAATAGTTGAAAAAAGTGGGATTATTTACATAACAGATGTAATTAAACCCGCTATGCATAAATAATCTCAACGTTTCCAACTGTTTTTGATGTCCCTAGCGTACCCAACAAACTAGACAGTGATTCCTTATATTTACATTTAATTCTGACATAAAATTGTGAAAAATAAACTAGATGAGATCTCGTTGCGAGCAACGAGTAGGTCTTCCGTCCATTTTTTCGATGAGATGAGATATGATTTTGACTATAATCTTTGTAGATCATAATGGTATCAGGACTTCTTTCTTTTGATTATATTCTTTTGATTTATATAACATTATTGAATAGTTATAAATGAAAGTCAGAGATTTCTTTTCGTTGTCGAGCTATGTAGAATAGACAAATTTAGGGGCCAGCCCTTTTCATCCTTTATGGGACGTTTTTGCAAATATTGAATTGATTTATTTTGTTTAGGATATGATTCTGAACATCTTTGATTTAATACTGCTTATCAAAATATTTTCCCCTTTTGGAGATATAAAGAATCCAAGACTGAGCATTTTGGCAACTTATAACCCCTAATTACGTAACATACAATGTAGGATCATAATTTACAATGCATTGATGCAGATTGTTATGATAAACATATTTGCTTCAGTAATTTATAACAAAAAATTGAGAGATAAAGAGTTATAAATGAAAGTCTTTTGGTCCCATATGGGCCTCTTATTTGAGGGTCAGACCCTTTTTCTTCATATCAAATGAAAGAACATGTAATTTTGCACAGCTTTTGATATACATCTTTTAGCAAATTATTGACAGGTAGAAAGATATTAAAGAAAACATGTCAAACTTTGCGAGATATTTGCGAGCCTACTTCTGAGCCCAAGTGGGCTTCAACGCCTTTTGCGCTGAAAAGATATAGACGCAAAAAACAATTTTTTGCAATCCTTCTTCTACCCTCATTGAAAATCTCAAGTCAATATCTTCATTTGTTTTGGAGTGACTGCCAGGACAAGCTGACCCTCTGAAAATCAGTAAATCATCCACATCTCACGACAGGAAGTGACGTCATTAAAATGAAAATTTTCCAATAAGGTTCAGATCAATATCTATCAGATCTGAAAGTTTTGTGAAAATCGACAGAGCCGTTTCCGAGAACTCGCGTGCACGTATTCCGTAAGAAATAAAATAACAATAGGGAAAAACGAAAACAACAAGGTCTTCCGTTGGAAAGAGAAGACCTTTTAAAGATATAGATTTTTAAAAAATGTCTGATAGATTTAAATTTGTCAATTTCAATAATTCCCGCCCACTCAAGTAAAACACAAAAACAGTCGCACAAAAATTACATGCATATTAGGCTTTCATGGCTCCTGGCTTTTCCCTTTCCGAAATAAACATTCCAGTTGAATTATCAAATCACCAAACTATCTAAGAGTTGTCACAGAGAAAACAAGTCTAGAAGTATATATATTCAGGTCAGAATGGGCTTTTATGAGAGAGGACGGGATTTGGTTATTTCAAGCTTGATTTAGGTCTGGTGTGCTTTTTCATTCATCATTACAACATCAATAATAATCAAAATATTGAAAGAACTGAAAGTCGAGCTTTAATTGCTCGAGTATATTGTCTGATCCAAAATTAGTATACTCGATTCTCATTATATCGCGGTATATTGCAAAAAAATTGGATACATAGCCTATATTCTTTTTGTTGATAGACAATATGTATTTTGTCTGAATGTTTACTTTTTGAATGATTAAAAAGTATGGAACATCAGTCTGAAAAGAAATATTTAAAAAAAAACGTAATTTTACAGATTTCCAGTCCCGTTTTTATTATATTTAGACCATTAAAGTTATAAGCTATTGAAAATTATAATAAAGTTCATTTTCAAAGACTGTTAATTTGTACAATTGATTATTTTTAATGTAGAATTACATTGTAAATTCAAAAATAAAAATTGACGTCCATGTCAGCTAGAAACATCCATGTTTTCCCATACCGCGATACAATGAGACTCTCCAACTTAGGAGGTAAATAAGATTTCCTGTTTTAAAAATAGACCATAAACTAAAGGATGCAAGCTTGGAAAATAATTTGACACTAAAAAGTTAGGCTATAGTTAGAATTATTAATATCATTTGATATAAGTTAAATTAAAAATTTGAAATTATACTTTTTTATGCAAAAGAATTGAGTACCGCGATATAATGAGACACCAGTATACATAATTATTTTTATTCCTTTTGGCCGACCCATGTTCACGGACATATCCTAGACTTGCTTATCACACGATCATCTAGTGAAATACTACATTCACGTCCTCAAGTCAAAAACCCTTCATTGAGTGATGTGAAAGGAAACTTGTGCTGTGACCACTATGCTATACATGCAACGTTCAACTGAAGAAAGCCACAACATCAACGTAAAGAGATTACATTTAGAAGGCTCAAGAATATCGACATACATGATATGAGTAGAGATATCAAAAATCAACTACAAGATGAATCCGCACGAAATGAGAACACGTCTGTTGACCATTTAGTACAAGGGTACAACAGATGCCTCTCGCATATTCTAAACACTCATGCGCCTCTTGTTAGCAAGTCAATTCTTATAAGAGCTAACACAGAGTGGTACACAGACGAGCTCAGGACAGCGAAACAACAGAAGCGGAGAACGGAGAGACTTTGGCGTAGATCTAAACTGAAAATACACCACCAGCTTTTTAAAACGGAATGTAAGCAAACAGGCCAATTACTACACAAGGCAAAAGAAGAATTCTATTCTGCTAAAATTCAGGAATGCAGATATGATCTGAAAAACTTCTTTAGAGTGACGAATTTATTGATGGGTAAGAATCAGGAGAGTCCCCTACCAACATCATCATCAGATGAAGATCTTGCAAATAAATTTTCAACGTGTTTTATAGACAAAGTAACATCCATCAGAGAGACACTTAAACAAAAAAACAGAAAAAGAAGACAGCTATTTAGGCACAGACGTATACTATCATGGGCCTCTATTAGCTGCTTTTGAACGTACCACTGAAGATGAAGTACGATCACTAATAATAAAGGCACCCAGTAAATCATGCGAACTGGATCCAATTCCAACAAAGCTACTGAAAAAGTGCCTGGATCCGGTAATACCGCTTGTCACAGAAATGGTTAATGCATCTCTCGATCAGGGAATTTTTCCGTCTGCATGGAAGGAGGCCATAGTTCGTCCACTTCTTAAGAAACCTGGACTAGATAAGGAAGTGTTGAAAAACTATCGGCCCGTATCAAACTTGAGTTTTATCTCAAAAATATTGGAGAAAGTTGTGGCTCGTAGGATTGATGCCCATTTGGATGCGAATTCTCTTCGCGATCCACTTCAGTCGGCATATCGTCCGAGGCACTCCACGGAAACGGCCCTCATCAAGGTCCACAACGATATTGTTACAGCCCTAGACCAACAATCTTCAGCAGTCCTTGTCCTTCTGGATTTATCCGCTGCTTTTGATGTTATTGACCATAATATATTGTTCCAACGCCTAACTGTGTCTTATGGTTTCCGTGATGGAGCTCTTGAGTGGATCAAGTCTTACCTCAAGAACAGAAAACAATGTATCACAATTGAATCCGTCCGATCAGAGTCTAGACAGCTGCCTTTTGGTGTCCCCCAAGGATCTGTACTGGGACCGAAATTGTATTGCCTCTTCTTCAAACCCATTGGAATCATATGCCACCGACATGGAATGATATATCACTGCTATGCAGATGATACACAAATCTACATGATCATAAGACCACTGGAAAATTGGAACAATTATTTCTCTCGACTTGAAGCGTGTCTTAGTGAAATTGGTTCATGGATGACATCAAACCTACTCAAACTAAACCAAGAAAAGACCGAGCTAATAATCTTCACCACAAAGCAACACCAGAAGTATCTGCCAACATTACAACTAAAAGTTGGTGATAATATCATTGAAAGCGTGCCATGTGTAAAAAATCTAGGTGCATTTTTCGATCAACACCTTACTATGGAAAAACAGGTATCCTCGGTCGTCAAGTCATGCTATTTTCAAATAAGCAATATTGGACGAATACGGCGCTTTCTTACAAAAGAAGCCTGCAAGACCATGGTGAATGCCGTTATCACTGCCAGGCTGGACTATGGGAACTGGCTTCTATATGGAGTGTCAAAGGCCTTGCTAGACCGGATTCAAAAAGTCCAGAACACGGCAGCTCGTTTAGTTACAAGATCATCGAAACGGGAGCATATTACACCTATTCTAGCTGATCTTCATTGGCTACCTGTTTCTTTTCGTCCACAATATAAAATCTTGACATATGTCTACCAATCCTTACACGGGTTAGCTCCATCTTATATCAAAGATCTTATAATGGAATACAAGCCTACCAGGTCACTGCGATCTGAGTCAGCATCACGGTTAGTTGTTCCTAAGATCAGGACGAAGACATATGGCGAACGTCGACTTGGTTGGGCAGCAGCATTTTTGTGGAACGACCTTCCTAATGATATAAAGCAGGCCAAGTCCCTGGATATTTTCAAAAGACAATTAAAGACGCATTTTTATAGAATAGCTTTTTAAATTTCAGGTGCTCAATTTTTAGCAGCAAATCATAAATCACAAATGATGTTCTTTTATTGAGTTTTATTGATGGCGTAATTGTATTTTGTGTGTAATTTTTAGTATTTTAATGTTATAATTTCGAACACATATATGAGTATGGGTTGATATTTTATATAAGTTTTCATAGCTTTTAAATTATGTTTACTGCGTTTTATTGTACAGCGCTTTAGAGTTAAATTATTAATATTTAGCGCTTTATAAATTCATATATTATTATTATTATTATTATTATTATTATTAAACAGGTAGCGTTTGTATGATTATGATTTAAAACAATATCCCATATACCAGTAATTAAAATTAACAGTCCAGACCCCAAGATATGTTATGATTTTAAAATTTAATAAATACCGGTAATATTTCCAAGAAATTCTCGCATTTTTTCTATTCAATAAGCATTTTTTTCTAATAATTCAAAAATTCAGTCTTGGAAAAGTTTAAATAATGCACATGTGTATTTTCTAGACACTCTTTTAGTTTCACTTCTGATAGTCAAGCATATTGTAATGGCTATCTAGAACCAGGCAAAACATATTGGTATGATCTTTCTTACATTCTCTTTTAACATTTCAAACAAACAGTACTTTTATCGCCAACTGCATGTGGAAACACTGCTTTGACGCTGTTTGGTTTTTTGTTTACTGTGGTATTTATAGTAAGACAGTAGATCAAGATGCCAATAGCCAGGACTTTGCTTTCAGCAAAGCCCGGCTAAAAATCAGAACACAAATAAAAAGGATAAGTAGTTTTCATGTATTGCAGTGGGTCTATTTCGATCTAAAGCGGTGATATTTTATTCACAACAACAAAACATTTGTCCAAACAAAGACAGCCTCAACAAAGAGACGATATAGAATTCTTTTAGTTTGTAATGTGACACACTTAATTGTTGATGCGGATTATTCTTTGAATAGAGGGTTCTGTATTCTTTTATCTGAATTTTGATTTTGAATATATATATTCAAATATATGCTAGCTCTTTATCTTTTTCCCCAGCAACATCCATTACATAAACATGCTTTATCGTTATCACAAATGCATGTGATGCCAGTAATGCCATTGTAATTAATCCGAAAAAAGTCATCGATTTTTTCAATCTGTAAAGAATGGAACATGTGCGCTTATGAATCAATATTAATAATTCATTAAGGGAATATACGTAGATCGTCTAAATTTTTCAAAATACAGGTAAGAAACACTCAGAATTTCTTAAGGAAAAGAAGTCTAGGTCTCATTTATTACACTAAAAATATTCAAAACTTAACTATTTTTATAACTCTGCAAATACATTGATTTTTATAAAGAGTTAACATTTGTACGATTAAGAACCACACCTAACAGATTAAATTGACAATATTTTTTTTGTCTGTTTGCCTGAAATATCTGCTTTTTATTAATTTCAAGAAAAAATTAATTTGTCCTTTTATAAAAAGATTAATTTGTCCTTTTATAAAAAGAACTCGTTTTAAGCGGTTTTACTAATATTATTGTTATTAAAAAAACTTAATCAGTATTGTTTAAGGATGTAACTGCATAGGGTAAAATACTGAGTGGATTGGATTGGAGTGGATTGGAGTTATAAAATATATCAAAAGCATTAGATTCAAATTGATAAGGTTTGAAGCACGAATCGAAACTTACTTTACCCAAAATTAAATTTATGTCTACCGTATTTTAAGTTCATGTTAAGAGAAAAAAATCTTCATCATACAGAATGAGCAGAGCAAAGCACATTCTATTTGACGAAAAGTTTTCTTTATATGACCTTAATGACTTCAGAATCCTAACCAAACAAATCAATGAATAAAAGATTAACCCCTGCTATTAATTAAAAATTAAACCACTATTGTAAGGTAAAAATTCTGTTTGTATGAATGATGAGCTAGCTCACCAGTCAATCCTTTAAGTTACCTGTAAGTGTCCTTTCCTTTCAGAAAACTGTCCATTTTTTTAATAATGAACATTGTTTCTATGCTCAAAACTTGATTTTTACAAAATTTGAATTTAAGTAGCTCAATTTCACATTTGACTTTTTCAGAAACATTGTTCCCTGGCATGGAGGCTATATGATTTCCGTAAGATAATTCGCATGATCCCATCTCTGAAATTTCTGAGTTCCGTATTTTCAGCCTTGTTCAAGATTTGGATGTTTATAGATTTTTTGATATTGATCCCTGTTCGTTATAAACAATCTTTTTCTTTCTAACCGTTTCAAAAATACTTTATAAAATACCATAAAACAACCACTTTTACTTTCGAAAACGATTAATGTTTTATATATTTGTTGAAACATGCTCTCAGAAAACAATGGCAGACAGAGAAAATCAAAAACTGAAGCAAGAGAATATGGGTGAAACTCAAAAACCAAAGCCAGAAAAGACGGAAGGAAATCAAAAATTGAATCAAGAAAAGGTGAAAGAAAATAAAAAACCAAAACAAAAGATGGTGGAAGAAAGTCAAAAACGGAATAATGAAAAGGTGGATCAAAATATAATGTCTAAAAAAGATAATTTAAAAAAAGATAAAGACAAAGTGATTTTTTGTAAATTTCAAAATTTCCGCTACTTCTTGATAATTTAAAACATTTCTATTAAGATAATCTAAGAACTGAATAACAGTTATGTATTTTTATCTAGGCTCACGAAATAGCGAATTGTACGTTGATGATACTCACAGGAGCAATAATGGTAAATTTCCTTTATTCAATTTTTCGAATAATAATGGTCACCCGCGTGGCGCAGTGGTAAGAGCGTCTTCCACTTAAATCGCGGAGTAAGGAGTTGACTCTTATGTCTTAGGTTCAAACTCCACTGTAGGACATGTCGACTGGTCCTTCGGATGAGACCATTTAAATCGAGGTCCCGTGTCGCAGTACATGTAGGCACGAAAAAGATCCCTCATAACTACAAATGACCGAAAGTGCCGAGGATAGAACAAAATATGCAGCTCTACACCGGTAGGTGGTGGTGGTGTCTCCATATGAGTGAAAAATTCTCTAGTGGAACGTTAAACAATATGCAAACAAATAAACGAATATGTAAATGTTCCATATTGAAAATAGAAATGCTTGTAATCTTTGGTGCATTATTTGTGTTTTGAACATCAAAATATCTATCGAATGGTCACCTTTTTAAACTGATTATTAAAATCATTTGTCACTTGAATAGTAGAATAAAATCAATTTTTGCAAAGGTTGTTGCAGTGGTCTTGGTATCTTCGTGTGATGTTACGAAATGTATCAAATCCTGTGATCTCAAGGAAGCCGTGGAATACCTACGCCTAAATTTTACTGTATCTTGTAAATATGAAAATTCTAAGAACATCAAACAGATCTGGAAAATTGGGATATCAGCACTTGTCCTGGATTTCGTATTTCTGTTTCTGAGCCTGATTTTATTGATGGTTCCTGGTGAAAGACAAAGAACAGGATATATAGCTTGTTATTTCGTGGTAAGTTTTACTAATTATATTTACGTTACCGAACCTGCATATGATTACTTACTGATTTTAAAGTGTGGAATAACATCTTCTTTATCGTCTATTTTACAATATTGATTATACAGTCTCATATTTCCTAGCTGGCCATACAACCCCTTGTGTTATCAGTTTTGCTTTTTCTCCGGTACAACAATATCGTCGATTCCAAAACGACTAAAACGGATACGGTACGTTATCAATTTATTCAAACATCATGAAGTTTACTCAAGTTTATATTTTGATACAGATACCAAACCATATCATCACTGTGTTTTAACGTATTATACCTAAAAGGATATTTTATTTAAGATAAGCTTAGTGTGCCAAAACCTTTACTATTAATATTCTTCCACAGGATTATGGAGAACTGAAGCGTGTAATGATTCAATCACTCACAGACAATTTTACTTCGGATGTTATAAGCATCAACGATAGTACTTCCGACCGTTGGAACAACTTCTTTATCAAGGTTAATTGCATTCAAAATGTAGCTTTTTGAAAACATTTATGATTTTATCACCATTTCGAAACCCCGCATGGCAGCTGATGGCGGGGATTGAAGTTTCTCAAGTGCATGTCAACTCCAAAGTTGTAGGTTAAAAAGTCAAAAGTGTTGGTATCCAAAGGAATGTCATAAGGAATACACCTGTGAAATATGACAGCTCTGGTACTAACTGTTCAAAATTTATGGCCAAGGTTAAAGTTTTTTAAAAGTTGAAGGTCAAAAGCACAAAAATATTTAAACATGTATCCACTGAAAAGTTTTGTCACAATAAATGCACGTGTGAAATATATATATATAAAAGCCCCTACATCGACTGTTCAAAAGTGGTCAAGGTTAAAGTTTGGGAATTTTTGTAAAAGTGGGTCATACTCCAAGGTCAAGTGGTCAAATTTGGTAATGCCTCCAAAAAGGTTCTGTCTGTAGAGATTTACCAATGAAATATGAAAGCCATACTAGTCCAAATCACTTAGAAGTTATAGGCAATGTCAAATAGACAAACAAAAACCCAGACAGACGGACCGATAAACAGACAGACCGACATGCCATGGTAAAAACTATATACTCTGGAATATTCGATTACGGGGGCATAGTAAATAAGCGTTTGTGCCCGTTGGATAAAAGTGTGAATAATGCATGCTTATGCTGGAATATTTCTACTCAATTGCCGGTAATGATTATATTTTTTCTCTGGAAAAAAGTAATTGCTAATAAATTATATGTAGTGAGGACAAAGCAAAGTTAGTGTTCTGTCCCCGTAAATGACTTTAACTTTTCTATACTTTAACTTTGTCCTTCATATTTAATATGTATTCTCTTTCTGAAAAACTTCTCTGGTTATGGGGTTTGACATATTGTTGCAAACGTTTACCAAACTTTAACCCAAGCCAAAAGTTTTAGAGGCTTGGAGATATGCGATAGTACCTCACAGTGGCATATCAATTATCTGGATTTTTTAGTACCACAACATTTTCTTCCTTAGACCTTAAACTTGGATTTAGATTTATATTTTAAACTTTAACATTGACCAGAACTTTTGGACGATGATACCTTAAACTTTATTTTATGTTTCACTTTTATATTCTTTGTGACAATATCTTTTTTTAAGGACGGAGTATCAGTGTTTTCTGTTTTAAATTGCTCTCGACTTACTTACTTATTGCATTAAGGTAGTCCGATCCTCAGGTTTATAAAATTAAAAGTTAAGTAATCCAAAATACTCATAAAAGTATCAAAGAATTCACAAAGTTATGTAAATTTATCCACAATATTTCTTTAAAGTTAAATATAAAAGTTAATCATATTATCAAATCTCCAATATTTTTGCAGAAAAAGCGTATTGGAATATGAGCAATGCATTTTCTAATTGCAAATTGATCAACAAATATATTTTAGGTTAAAAAACGATAGGTATCCAGACATTCAGAGAAATTGTCATGGTTTTTATGCTTATTTGGTATGTTTTGTCTTCTATTTCCGTCATGTCCTCTATGATACATAGTGTTATAGGGTTTTGCTATCATTGTAAGACACCACAAATCACTTCTTATTTCATATCATGCTAATAAGCATTTGTATCTAAGGCTGGACTCAAGAAAATTTTATTTCTCTAGAACTGTATTAAAGACTTAGAAAAGCCTTGAATTTTATAAAGATGAATAAAATGAAAATTGTTGCATGAAAAAATTTCATTTTCAATCTTCATTTTGATGCATTTCAAATTAAATATGAATTTTTGGAGTTATCCTTCCTAGCTGAGGATCGGATATCCTTTAGAAAGCTCTAATCACTGCGCTCTTAAACCCTTCCATGGCATATACGCATTTCTACGCATATGACTTGAAAAACAAGTATAGTATGAACAAACATTCATAACTTCGTTAATGCTGCAAATATCAGAATAATTCTTGCACCGTTAGAAACGGAAAATAATAACAATAAAAAATTATACAGAAAATTTTTTTATTGGTTATACCAGTATTTTGCTAGCTTGAGTAAAATTTTGAACACTATTCGAGCGATTTTGCTATTATTGATATCAATGCTGTGGTAACATGTAATATATAAAAATGCTAAATTCTGGTTATTACTTCCAAACCCCACCCCATTTATCTAAAATGCTTTAAATTAGATTTTTAAAAATTGTACAACATACTCATAATTTTCAACCAAACAATGAAATATTTTGAATATTTTTGACTAAGCAAAAAAAATAAATAAATAAATAAATAAAACCACAATGAAACTCATTCTTGAATAGATGGAAATTCAGGCATTATTATTGGCAACTGAAATTATATTTTCATAATCATTTTCAGAAAGTACACAATACCTGCTTTCAGAATATGTATACACTGATATATACAAAAATTACAAAATATACTCAAAAAATGCATTGAAATCTTAATATCAATTTGTCTAGTATACAGTTATGGAATGGGTACGAGGGAAATATTTCCCGAGTTCCCATATCATAACTGTTTTATTATACCGAAACTATCATAGGCAATTTAGTTTTTTTTTTTACCAGATATTCCGACATTTAAAAAAAAACACTGTAGAGGCATAATTGCAAATGCATGCGGTTTAACACATTGTATGATAAGTAATGCATCGTGTTCAAAACAATTAAATTATTTTTAAAAAGTATTTTCACTGACATTTCGAAGAATTATCGTTGTCTTCATTTTGCTAGAATTCAAGTATGATTTTAACATCGAATGTCGAAATGTTTTGACGTCATAGTTACATTGCTAATAATATGACGTCACATACTCTAGATTCCTTGATCGCTCCGCCTATTGAACACTTTGATTGGTTAAAATTACTAATAAATATTCATGAGGGAGTAGTCCCGGGAGTAGCTCTGATTTTCCAGGGACTAGTCTTCAGTTGAGGGCAATAGTTTCTTCTCGGGGAAATAGACAGTTTTATAGTATTAATTTTATATAGATTAATTACAGTTGAGGTATAATGCTTAAAATGCGGTAAAAAGAGGTAAAAATGCTTAAAATTTTTGCCATGGAAGGGGTTAAAAGCACTATTTTGTAGGATAATTTTATGGCATTAGAGTGACCTGCCCTCAGAAGTTAAATAGCATAAATGGTTATTTACAGTGAATTACGCATTTCTCTTGAATTAAAATATTCTTAACAATATACTAGACCAAGAATAAGTAATTGTATTCATTATTTCCGATAATTTTCCCAATGTAAGTAAACAACAGTGATTTCTGTTTTCAATTTATCCATTGTCTTCGAACATTTTTCCTTCGGGAATAAGACATGTACCCTATGTTGAAAATGAACAAAAAAGTTTCAATGTGCACACCTTTGTATGATATACATTTTTTCTCTTAGTCCAAAAACACTTTTTGTTGGTGTTTAGAGCCTCTTTAATTATAATTCTATGTATGAATCGAGTATGTACATGAAAAAAAAATTACTTCATATCATAAAGATAAAAATGCATTATAATCTACTAATATTATCAATAACTGTATTATTGTGTATCAATCAATTGAATGTTTTCCATATTTCAGTACGATTGTTGTGCTGTTAACCAAGTCACTAGCACCACCAATGATTTTGACACGACCCCTTGGTGTACAACATCTGGTTCCTGTCAACAGACGAATTATCAAATTCCAAAATCTTGTTGTAAAGCATATACAGTTGATGATTATGAAGAGGCACCACCCAGTTGTCATGCTACTGTCACTGACAATACCTATAAAGATGTAAATACTATAAACAAAAAAAATGTGCTGAAAATCATTTCTAAATGCTAGTAATTAGATTAAAATTCACACTTTCTTCCTAAAGTGCTGCTCCAAACAATGTGGCAAAGAATCACAGTGTTATTGTAATCATATTATGAAATATAAATTTAAAATATTAAAAAAAACCCAAAAAATTAATGAAAGTAAATATCGTCTGATTTGTCTCTCTAATTTAAAAGTGTTAAAACAAGCAATGTTTATGTATTGTTTAACATTTCAGAGCTGTTTTTCTCGTGTTAAGATGTTGGATGACTTTGCCATAACAGATAACCAGATTGATGTTATAGCTACCATTTCCTTAACCTTCGGGATTCTGAAAGTAATTATATGTTTTGATCACATTTTGAGCTCTTACAGTGTCATCAAACGGAATGTATGTATATATAAACTGAAAATATTTTTAAATCAATTGTATAGACTATATATATAGATATGTTTATATATTAGATGATCATAATATGTAATGTACATTATGGAATACCCACCTGATATTTCATTCCTTCAACATCTTTTCCCTCTAACATCCTATTCTTTGAACGTCTTCCACCTATATTCCCTCTAACATTTTACTCATTCTAGATAACGTTTCGTTCACCATAACGTCTTACTAGTATTTCCTTTATCTTTTTTTACGTTTACCATCATGCCCTCTTCCCTCTTATCACCCTTTACGTCTTATTCCCTTTAACATGATATATATGGAGAAAACGAACAGTAATCAAGCTCAAAAGTTCCTTAGAAAAATAAAAAAAATATGTCCATTAAACAATACTAATAGGAGAAGAACAAACACGGACCTCCAAAACATCAGAGGCGGGATATATTTAGGAGTATATAACGTATGGCTTATTTTGTCTACCATATATTCAAACGTATTATTTCATTTTATGTCTAATTTCCTCTAACTTCACATTCCCTTTGATCTATTTTTCTCAAAAGTCTTAAGTCTAATATCATCGTACGTCCTATTCCCTCTGATCTAATTTCCTCTAACTTTTCAGGCTGGTGAGGTCATCCTGGCTGTTGGAATAGCTTTGGGGCTTTGCATTTGTAAGAAAACTGAAAACTATAAAACAAACCACAGTGATCAATGTTAAGATGCATTTCCAAAGGAGATTCAACAAACCACATGACAAATTGTTAGATGAGATTCTACCTTAGAAATATAGCTTTCAATCATCAAACCAGACTACTTTTTGAAAGGATGCGATCCTAACAGACAATTTTAGCTTTAAATAATCAAACCACACTACCTTTTGTAAGGATGCAATCCTAAGGAAGGAATTATAGCTTCAAATCCACTTATCATTACCTAGGATGAGATCCTAAGGAAGGAATAATAGCTTTAAATCAACAATTCACACTACCTTTTGTAAGGATGCAATCCTAAGGAAGGAATTATAGCTTCAAATCCACTTATCATTACCTTTTGAGAGGATGCAATCCTAAGGAAGGAATTATAGCTTTAAATCAACAATTCACACTACCTTTTGTAAGGATGCAATCCTAAGGAAGGAATTATAGCTTCAAATTCCACTACCTTTTGTAAGGATGCAATCCTAAGGAAGGAATTATAGCTTCAAATCCACTTATCATTACCTTTTGAGAGGATGAGATCCTAAGGAAGGAATAATAGCTTTAAATCAACAATTCACACTACCTTTTGTAAGGATGCAATCCTAAGGAAGGAATTATAGCTTCAAATCCACTTATCATTACCTTTTGAGAGGATGAAATCCTAAGGAAGGAATAATAGCTGTAAATCAACAATTCACACTACCTTTTGTAAGGATGCAATCCTAAGGAAGGAATTATAGCTTCAAATCCACTTATCATTACCTTTTGAGAGGATGAGGTCCTAAGGAAGGAATAATAGCTTTTAATCAACAATTCACACTACCTTTTGTAAGGATGCAATCCTAAGGAAGGAATTATAGCTTCAAATCCACTTATCATTACCTTTTGAGAGGATGAGATCCTAAGGAAGGAATAATAGCTTTAAGGGGATGAAGGACCTTTAGCTGAAAAAATACCTGTCATTTAATTTTTTTCATATTTTGTATATATCTTATTTAGTATGTCCTACATACTATAAAGCAGACATATCAATAGGTTTCTAGACTTATTTCTGAGATATTGAGTGACAAATGCCATACCCCACAGTGTCTGAGCGGAGTTTTTATTCTCCGTGTTTCTGGGTCCATTACTCGTACGATAATTGAAATTTTTCACTATAGATAAAAAATGTACCAGCGGAAATGTGTCTTTTAAAATATTTTAGAGCATGAATAGGGTTAAAAATTCAAAAAAGCAAGATTCTTTTGTAACACCACATCTGGAGACGGAAATTTACGACTTTTTTAGGACAACTTAAACCATAAAAAAATTAATTTGCAAAAAATCCTATCATTCAATATTTGAAAATTTACGTCGAAGTTCAAGGTCGTCATTGTATTGATTAACTGTAAAAATATCGATTGGTGAAACTGAGCTCAATATTGCACGGGGCAAAGTCAAACGAGTCATGATCATGAGAAAAACGTGTCATGTTTACATTTCTCGAGTACGGGAAAACCCAACTATGACGTCACACATTCCTGAAATAAGCGAAATAAGACAAACCCACAGAACTTTTCCGTCAACAACCATGTAAAAATATTTTTTGCGTTCTGAAATTTACAAAAAACCCTACCATGTACATATTATGGCCCGTTTTTATGATTTTATATTACCCGTTTTTACCGTGTATGATCTTACTGAACTAAGAGATCCACTATGACGTCAAAGACGCACTGGACGCGCAGAGTAGGGAAACGGCAGAGTGGATTAATCTATTCCGTAATTTGATAATATTTGCAAGAAATTTTGAATGTTTTCAGATATTTTTATACTAGATGGTGAACGCAAACAAACAGTCAAAAAAATTATACAAGTACTGTGGTTTCAATCTCGTTTTGTACATATTTTATCAGAGATTATGACGTAAATCAACTGAGTCACGTGACCATACATCCTTCATCCCCTTAAATCAACAATTCACACTACCTTTTGTAAGGATGCAATCCTAAGGAAGGAATTATAGCTTCAAATCCACTTATCATTACCTTTTGAGAGGATGAGATCCTAGGGAAGGAATAATAGCTTTAAATCAACAAATTACACTACCTTTTGTAAGGATGCAATCCTAAGGAAGGAATTATAGCTTCAAATCCACTTATCATTACCTTTTGAGAGGATGAGATCCTAGGGAAGGAATAATAGCTTTAAATCAACAAATTACACTATCTTTTGTAAGGATGCAATCCTAAGGAAGGAATTATAGCTTCAAATCCACTTATCATTACCTTTTGAGAGGATGAGATCCTAGGGAAGGAATAATAGCTTTAAATCCACAAATTACACTACCTTTTGTAAGGATGCAATCCTAAGGAAGGAATTATAGCTTCAAATCCACTTATCATTACCTTTTGAGAGGATGAGATCCTAGGGAAGGAATAATAGCTTTAAATCAACAAATTACACTACCTTTTGTAAGGATGCAATCCTAAGGAAGGAATTATAGCTTCAAATCCACTTATCATTACCTTTTGAGAGGATGAGATCCTAGGGAAGGAATAATAGCTTTAAATCAACAAATTACACTATCTTTTGTAAGGATGCAATCCTAAGGAAGGAATTATAGCTTCAAATCCACTTATCATTACCTTTTGAGAGGATGAGATCCTAGGGAAGGAATAATAGCTTTAAATCCACAAATTACACTACCTTTTGTAAGGATGCAATCCTAAGGAAGGAATTATAGCTTCAAATCCACTTATCATTACCTTTTGAGAGGATGAGATCCTAGGGAAGGAATAATAGCTTTAAATCAACAAATTACACTACCTTTTGTAAGGATGCAATCCTAAGGAAGGAATTATAGCTTCAAATCCACTTATCATTACCTTTTGAGAGGATGAAATCCTAAGGAAGGAATAATAGCTTTAAATCAACAAATTACACTACCTTTTGTAAGGAAGCAAGTAAGGAAGGAATTATAGCTTCAAATCAACTTATCATTACCTTTTGTGAGGATGAGATCCTAAGGAAGGAATAATAGCTTTAAATCAACAAATTACACTACCTTTTGTAAGGATGCAATCCTAAGGAAGGAATTATAGCTTCAAATCCACTTATCATTACCTTTTGAGAGGATGAGATCCTAAGGAAGGAATAATAGCTTTAAATCAACAAATTACACTACCTTTTGTAAGGATGCGATTCTAAGGAGGGAAATATAGCTTCAAAACTTACATGACTTAAGAGAATCAAAACTATGCAATGTTTTATATATTTAAAATGTAATATCTACTTTTTAACAAAGAATTTTATTTTGAAAAAAATAAGAAAGACCTGTATAACAGCATTAAATTCTAAGCATATTTACATGTATATATTTTCCACCATACACCCACATCAATACATAACTCCTCAGAGACTGGTAAACAAGTCAAACGCTTTATATTCACATTTTCCGACATCGGAAAAAAATGCAGGTTCACACGAAAATTTGATAAGGGAATTGATTTAAATTCAGAGAATCTGAATCTCATGCAAAATTTATTACTGTGCACCTGGATCCAGAAGAGCCTTTGATTGATTGTCATATTTTTTTTATGTATAAACCTACACCATCATTAATGTAAATTTAATCTTTTTGAAAAAAAGCCCACAAATTATATCACTAGCTTGTACAGGAAGGGTGAATAATTCTTTTTTTTCCCAAAAATTTTTAAATAATGAAATTGCGACGATTTATTGATGATAATTCTATATTATATGTACAGAAAACAGTACACAGGTATTTTTTGATTTTTTTTTTTTTGCAGCAAAGGTTTTTTTTAGCAGAAACTTCATATAATATTTGAATTGACTTGATACGTGTCCCGCTTCTTTTTCATCGAAAATGAAACGCAACTCTTTTGTTTTTTCTATATCATTTGTACTTGAACCGTTGAAGTTTTTGAGATTATCATAATTTCTGAAAACATGTATTTATATATTGTGTAAAATATAACCCGTGATAAAAGATCAACCGTAACTCCAGAGTTCATATTTCAAAAAAAAAAAAAGAAAATGTTTTTTTCACCTCTATAGAGAATGTTTTAAAATTTCCGAAATATTTATTGTAAAAAAAAAAAATCCTGTTATTATCTCATCTTAGTCTAGAAACCGTGATTTTAGCAAAATTGAAAAATTATTACACTGCAATTTTTGCATATTAAACCCCAGTGGTTTTGAAATTTCTTAGAATATAAAAAAAAATCATCATCTTTGATCAACCTAAAGTTTGTAAATTGAAAACAAGTCTTAGGATGATGTTTAATTTAGTTGAATTAAACCCCTCTTTCTAATCTAAATTAAATATAGATATATTCTTTTGCATTTACATGTTATGCTAAATTTATATTGTAATAAAAAAATATTGTTGTTGTTTGCTTTCTGTAATTTAGTCGATGGTTGTATTTTGCGTTTGTTGTGATATAATTGTAATTATCGGGGATTCTTAAACACATGATATGTGGGACTACTCTGAGGCAACAGTATGCGATGAAAGTTTTACATAGGAATATTTTTAGAAAAAAATTCTGAATTAAACCAAAGCCATAATTATTCAAATAAATTATAATGTAGAAACCATGTCGGGGTCAGTGTGAGCCATAAGAGACAGGATTAAAACGGGAAAATACTTTCTGAGTAACAATAATGCCATTTGTAGTGATATCAATATGAAAGCCTCTTCAAGTAGTCTATATCTAAGTAATTCTAATCAATATCATCAGAGTAAAGATGAAGCTAGAAAATCATTTGGAGTCGCAACCTTTGGGGCTGGGCTGATATGTCCTTTAACTTCTAGATATTAGTATACCTTTTCAAGATATGCTTTCTTTTGCTGCTCATTTATAAAAAAAAACCCTACAAAATTCTATGATCATATTGGGGGATCAGAATTTTTACAAGGGAATACATAAGACATATTTGAGGCAAAAAACTTATTTGTACAAAAAGTAAATGGTGATCACGATCAGTACTGAAGCACTGTGGCCCCACCCTACTCCAGGGGTCATGATTAAATCCTTCTCAAGAACCACTATGTCAGGAAAGATGAAACTCATTTAGAAGCATCCTCTGGTGATGAAGATTCAAGTTTGTTCATATCATGACCCCTGGAGTAGGGTGGGGCCACAATGGGGTATCAAAGTTTAACATAGGAATACATAGGAAGAATCTTCAAAAATCTTCTCTTCAAGA